ATTCCGGATCAAGCCACGATTGCTAGTACATTCTTGGCTTTTGTTTCAGAGACAGAGAGAGTTTTAGTAGTTACTATGAAACTGCAAACTGCTGTATACAAACAGTATGTTGTGCTGTCGTACTGTGTAACGATATTGCCTAGGGATACTTATCCCAGGCGAGGGAACATTATATCAATATCCCTACTAGCAGTGGCACGAGGCCCGGCCCAAGATGTCGCTATTCTTTATTTGGCAGGCGGTGCCGGGCAAATGCTTTCAGGTGTTTGTTTTTTTTTTCAGGAGCTTGTCATCGTTCTTGAACCTTCCATTGATTTGGGGCTCTATTTGATACTTTGGGGTGATATTGGTTTGTTTGTGTTGTTTGAAAAGCTACTTTTTATGACGGGCACAAGCCAATGGCTGGCTCTGGTAATATTGTGCTGTGCAAGTAGTTTGCTTGTCTAATCCCGGGCAACAATGGTACATCAAAGCATTATTGTACTGATTGGTTATGAGATAGATTTGCTCTGCTTCCAATGTTTGCTCTCCGACGCCCGCCTGCAGGGCGTTGTCAACAGACCCACCTTCACAGTTCTCCCCAATATAAAAACCACTACAAACCCCGTCTTTCTCTACATCATTTTCTACTCCTCTTGCCGAATTCTCTTTTCTGCCCCTCGGTGTCTATTATGTTCATAATATGTGAATCTCGTTGCTAGCTATATCTTGTCATACTATATCGTCCAGTATAAACTGCCTTTTGTCACGGTCAACCAATATTCGGATCTACTCAACTTCGCGACATACCAAACATGATGGTCGTATGCATAGTGGGTGCATTTTGTCTCTGAGTGCTGCTCCTGCTCATACAAAGGTAAGTACCAAATATCGCCTATCGGGTTGATATCACAATTCTAATCATCCTTAGTACCCCGAAATTAATGCGATTCGGCGCGAGATTGATGCCCTGAGGTCCACCAGCAGCGAAAGTCACATGTATGGCATCTGAGATGCTATACTAAATTGGCAATATCCTGTGACGGATGGATACATTACAAGACCTCAAGACCTTCATAGGCAATTCGGCGGAGGAGGGAAGGGCATTTCCGACTTCCATACTTTTGAACACAATGCTGTTGGTCAGCAAATTCTTTTCTTGATTACTCAATGCAAGCCACCATATGCGGAAACAAAACAGAGAAATGGAGAGCAGCATCAGTGCAGCTGGAAAAATACGCTGGAATCATAGAGTGATGAAGATCTCGTGGCACTCATTCAAAGGTTCACTCCCACTGCTATCTCATTGAGTATCTCGCGAGAGATTTTCTTTGACTCAAAAACTCTGTGACGCGCGTCTTCCATCTCTCCGAATCGTGTCGGGATGAACATTGACGATAATGAATCAATCACCCATGGAAGAAACACTCAAGACAATGGATCAACTACCTATGGAGATATTGGATATGGTACGTAACTACCTGTAACAATTTTGATTTATTTCACAGCTGATCAATCCTCTTTATAGATCATCTCCCATGTCCAGTCCGCTGATGAATACCACCGACACAGTTCTTGGTACAATCCACACACATCAATCATTTACTCAGAGACAAATTGACTCCATCTAAAGGAAATCAGTTTAGTCAATCTAGCTTTTCGTCACAGTGTGACACGCTTCTTATTTCAACATGTCACAATATCAATAGACAATCGAGTTCTCTTTCTATCAAAATTCAGAGATTTGGCAAGCAGTGAATACGCTTCTAGGGTCAAAACCATACAATTTGATATCATGACCAGTGGACTTCTTCAGTCGTGGTGTGAAGATAACGAGGAAGAGGAGGATGAAACCGGGGAGAATGAAGACTACGGGTTGTCCGAGAAGGTTATCACCAATATCTCATTTATTTTGGAGAAATTTCCCAATTTACAGACCTCGGTAATCAAATTTAGGGAAGCTGGGTATACAGACTATTTTGGAACGTTCATTGTACCTCTCATCATCTCATTAGCCAGGGCGCGGCCTATAAATATGATAGAACTGAGACTCATCGATTCTAGTCGCGTTCTAGAGCAATTATCCCACAACACTAGTGACGAAACCAACCAGCTTCTCTTTAATCTACGACATCTTCATATTCTGGAATCAGACAACTCTTTAATCGGCGTTGATATTCTGAGTTAAAGTGTGCCAGGTCTGTATTGTCTCACACTGGAAGGTAATGGCACCTATACAATCTTTCCGGAAATTCAGAATAACAACTTTCGCGATCTCAAGTCGCTAGAACTTCGCGAGGTGCAAATCTTCGCGAGAAGTCTTTTGACAATAATACGGGACTGCCAACATACCATTGAAAATATTTTCCTTCATCTGATAGCCCTCATGTCCGCATCATGGCTACATGTTCTTTACCAAATCAAGGTCATGATTCTATGTTTGAATGCCTTTGATTTTCCTATTACTTCAAATCCGACAGATAAAAGTTACAATCAGATGTGGACTGTCTATGGATGATTTTATGGAGACCGGAGATACATCCCCCATACAATAACTGAAATACAGCGACAAGTCAATATGAACAGGCTGACTATGGGGCTCAACCTATTGCATGCCCCGATCTTCCAGTACCTTGACCATCAACCACTGGAAGTTGTAATGGATCCTGCGTTATACAGGCAATTAGTCTCACAGTCTGAGAGGTACGCGTAGGCACACGCTGCCTCCACCCTGCACACACTCCATCACTTATTCGAGGTGGCAAACTCATCAAGACGCCCCATTTCATAGTCATAAATTGGAGATGAACGGACTTCGGCATCCAACAAAAAGAAGACGTCTAACAACTTCTCTGTCTACCAAGTCAGTGATTACACCACCAGACTCTGCTTCCATGGTTAGCTCTACAGCAGCAGCTATTCATACACTAGGACCAAAGCATCTCTATACATTAGTTTCACAGATTGAGTTAATGCTGATTGCAAATTTTCTCCCAATCGGAATTGACTTATTCTCATCTAGGCTAGTCATCACGCACTACGCAAGTGCAACAGGAACCAAGTGGCAACAATCGTATGATCACGCCCACATGAAAAGTGGACCATTTTTCATTGAGGGAGATCGACCTGTCCCTGAAAATAGCTTACATGGTCACACAGCAAGGAACGAGCCCAATTTGGCGAGCTATACCAAAGACATTGATCTATCGGCAAGAGATATCTATTCGCTAATACCTAATCTCAACCCTGAAATGATACCGATGATTCTGGCTACTACCTATGTCATCTACCAAGGGCCCCTTATGTTGAAGAACTTAACATTCCAAGATATCAACTTGTCCAATAATCAATATTATGACCTGTGCTCCACCACAGCTCGCTGCGAAAGATTGCGTATGTGATTGGCGGCCTCCACGGCTGCTTATGTTCAATCCACGAACAGGACCTTCAGTTTTTATAATATGGGGCATGCCTTATCTTTCCTATTAGATTTGTTGATGTTATTAGAGTCTTTTTAATCCTTGTGCGCCTCCAACTCTGAGAAACTTCAAAGTCCTCCACGTCTTGTTCAAAGTTCGTTATTCCACGCCCAACATTTCGATGCTACTGAGAACTTGTTCATCGATTGACACTCGCAAGCTGTTGGATTTTTCAAAACTCGGGAGGACCTCTGATCAAGTACTCATAGGATTGGGCCACCAAGTCAACGTCCGATGGAGCGTTCCACGCCTCTAAATCAACAATATCGTCGTTAGTACCTTGATGCTATGTTTTTGTTGCAATGGGGATCGAGTGGTATCATTCCGACCAAAAGGCCTTTGAAGTTTCATATCCGGGCCGATTTTGTGCATCGCACGTCAAAAGATTTGGAACACTTGGAAGATGACTGTTCGCAATCTCCAATATGAGCGAACGCAATCTTTACCTCATATCTCTACCTATAAAATGTCCAGTTAGCATCAACTCATCGACTATACTAACCTCATGAAGACCCACTTACAGTATAATCAACACGACAACCAATAAAAGACCATGAAGCCGCGCTTTCCACTGCTTCCTCTTGAAGAAAAGCTAGTAATCCCAATTTCTTACCTAGATGATTACCCCGAATTATGAGAGGCTTAACCCAAAACCTGATGGGCTCTACTATAACGGGGAATGCGCCACGTTTATCTGATTACCAGGGGATGACAATCCTCGGCATTCGTTGACCCGACGCGATTATACAGCATATCTCCCCGCGTCGGTGCACATCATTGGTTTCGTGAGCGGTACATACCCATTGTCTCGGCAAAGAATTCTCCGTTGATCTCAAACGTAGTCAATCATTCTGGTTCTTGCTGATGCACCAAATCTTTGCTGGTAATACGGCATGACACACGGCGGCTTGCTGGCGAAATTTGCAAAGTGCGAAGGCTGTTTATATATTCTCTCATTCGTTGTCTGAATATCGAGCCACCCGCCAATAAGTGGATTTGGAATTTCAAGAGGAATCAGACGTATAATGCAGTTAGAAGGCAGTGGTGCCTGTCTGCGCCAAGCATCTAATGCTGCGGCTGGACGTACTGCTCAAGGGAAGTGATTTGACGATGTATTACAGTGAATCGATCCCGATGGAAAGAGAAAGGATGACTATTATATGAATACGGCTTGGGAGGTCGTCCTTTGTTCCAATGTCCACTAATATCCGGGCGAGGATAGGAAAGCTTAGATGTTACTAGAAATAACTAGTTGTATTATTAACTGCTATAACATAGCACCTTCCCAATAAAACACTAGTTTCTAACTAGTATGATACAAGTTGGTCATATAACATACCACCCAGGTTCTTATACTCAGTGGCTCGCGTGGTATTAGCTTTTTAGATCAGATACCCAAATCAAATACTGAAAGCAAGCTGACACTGTAGCATACATTCCGACGTGATTGTCACCCTTCAACTTGTCTTGCAAGACAAGTTGCCCCTTCTACCACTTCCTGCACAAGCAGCCACGCAGGCTCCCCCGAGAAGCAAGTTCCATTTACTCATCGTCGTTGAGTTCAACGACTGTTTCCTTCCATTTGCGAGCCGGGACATGTCGCTTGAACAAGATGTCAATCTCACGGAAGGATCTGTGCTTCATCTCAGGAATGAAGAGCCAAGACATAACAGAGCAGAAAAGGGCGGTGCCAGCCCAGATATAGCCACTCTTGCCGCCCAGGTTCCACTTGTCAGAGTTGAGCATGTAGCTGGAAAGGAAGATGCAAGGAATGTTGACCAAGTAGTAAGCACCTCGTCCGATACCAGTTGTCAGGGGTCTGAGACGAACGGAAGGTGTCTCGCCGATGATGACCCATGAGGCAGGGGCGGGKCCCAAACAGAACAGGACGGAGACGATCAAGCCGAGTGACGCTTGCGCATTGCTAGCCGCAATGCTCGTGCCAACCGAAGCCGCAATACCGAGCGCGACCAAGAATGCACAGTTGATGAATTGACCATAGACATAAATGGTGCGTCGGCCGAGGTATGTGGTGAGGACCCAAGAGACCATGACCATGATCCACTGGAGGGCAGAAGTAATGAGACCAAGTGCAAATGCGGTGTTGTCAGCCATGCCGGCCTCTGAGGTGATGTTAGTATTTCATGTATGAGGCTGCACGAAATGATAGGACTCACGTTTGAAAAAGAAAACAGCCTGGTTAGCAATCAGGTTACCAGTTAAATTCTGGGATGCGTATACACCGCACACAATCAATGTGCGGTAAAGATCGGTACCCTTCCACAATTCAACGAGACTGGGCTTCTTCTCAGTCGCCTCAAGCTCGATCGTTCGGCGCATCATGGCGACTGCGTCAGCAGGGTTATCATTGGAGCTCGCGCGTCCAAGACGCTTGACAGCCTTCTCGGCCTCAGCGAGACGACCCTTTCGTACGAGCCACCAGGGTGATTCAGGCGCCAAGAAGAGTAGAATAGCGAGAGGGGTTGGGAACATCCACTGAAGTGCAATGGGAACTCTGATATCACTATTAGCAGAGTACACCTTGGTGGTACATGTAGCGAACAAACCTGTATGCTGAGGAGTCCAGCTTGGACTGGTAGTGGTAAGTGATMCCGCCGACAATGATCGAGCCAATAGCCCAGAACATCTGCAACATCTGGGTCGCTGGAGCTCTCAATCTCAATGGCACAATCTCGGCACAGTAGGCGGGTGCATTGGCGATGAAAATACCCCAAGGGATACCTTCTAGGATCTGGGCCGCGAAAAACATGCCCTGGCTGTTGCCGAAATAGAAGATGAAAATGAAAGCGTTCAAAAACATGAGGCCGCCAATGGTTGCCCATCGATAACCAATCCGACTGGTAATGGGACCTGCGATGAACACACCGATGAAAGCACCGACGGGACCGCTGCACTGAAATGCTGACTGCCACGAAGCTACAATGATAGGTTGATTGGTAACATTGCTGATTACCCCAAAATCCTTAGCAAATTGGTATGTGGCTATGAATTGTCCCATCAGGAAAACGCAGTATGACTCCATGATCTATCGCACCGTTAGAGATATAATCATCTGCCGTTCATGGGCAAGAACTTACAATGGTACATGACATGACGAACGCCCACCAACTGGCAGCGGGATAAGCCTTGACAGCTTGGAGCACACTCATTTTGTGCTCGATATCTTCAGCATTCAAGGCGCCCGCTCTGTCGAAGTCGGACTTTTCGCCGACATCGTATACAGGCCCGCCCTTGGGCTGCTCCTCGAGCTCCAATGGCGAGTTCGGCTTCTCACTGACGACGGTAGCCATGTTGACGATTTTTGGAAGAAATGTTGAAAGAACGTGAGAACGGGAAAAGAGGCAGGCACAGCTGGGGGGTGTCAGCTCTTTTTTATCCCTGCAGCCAACACGCGCGTGATGGTACAACGGATCTAAACTGAATTGAGTAAAGTTTGCTCCGGACTTCTGACCTCCACAACCCAACATCTCCATGGATTGCCCATGATTGGGGTAAGGATTCATTGTTCCGCCCACCACGGTAGCATTCGCGACGTCGCATTCGCCTTCTCCATCCCTCCAACCAAGCTTCTTATTAGCCGTACCGCAAGTCGGTGCATTTCTTCCCGAGTTGCTCTGGGCGTCTGCGTGTGATTGGTGCAATTTCACTTATGTTGAGCGGAGTAATTATAAACTAGCCGGGAGCAGATTCATCGGTTCCACTCGCTGTGTTTCCCCGCACTGTCATTCGCGGGGCGAGTTGGTGCCGGTTTTCAATTTCCGCACTCAGTTAGATCCCCAGTCTCCCTTCGATGATGACTCTTTATTAGCCGGTCTGAAATATGCCGGGGTAAAGCGGGGGAAAGGCCACGCGTCGTTTCTGCTTCTTCTTGAAAGGTCATCTGGGCTTCTGGAATCCGGAGGTCCAAGCATTGCTCGGATTCTATCCTAATCGCCTCTGGGGTCAGATCCCTTGCGTTCTGATAATTTGATGGCATCTTTTGCCCCTGATTTTAACCTTGGCCATAGTTCCGGGAGCAAGGTCTGCTAGTAGGCGCCACCAACCTACAGTCAGCCCTCGGATAAATGTTAAGCTCAAGTAATTGCAGGGCTTAAAGCTCAAGTAATTAAGCTCAGTTTCGGTTAATTGAGCCTAGCCGATTGGGAAGTTTACTCGGCCCAGGATCCCGGTCCGTGACTTACTCCGTACTCTTTCGTATAGAAAAGTCTTGTTTTTTGAGGTTTTGTCCTTCATTGGTTCGCCAAGGCGAAGACCACATGTTGTACACCACATGGCACATACAGCAAATCCGAGCGCTGTCTAGAGCCTCTCCCACCAATTACTGTTTCTGTCTTCATTCTGTAGGTTGTTTAGAATTGAATTAAATGTCTCACTTCGCACCTTTCACGGAATAGTGTATGGCAACCCTAACTATCGCTTGCTGCATTCTCCAATGAACATCCATTCCATGGGCCTTCCCCGAATCTGGAGACAAACACGCCTAATCTGATCAGAGCCATTAACCAAGACCAACTAAAGTAGAGAAGTGTTCTATAATCTAATTGCTCTACGCTTTTCAGGTCATTCCATATGTTCCCTCATACGTATGCAGGATGTCCAGGGTCTGCTCATTATAGCAAGGTTCTCACTGGCCAAGTAACGGCCCAGGTATTTGGCACCACACCACTAGAAGGTAAATAACCGCTCCTGTTAGCTATACCAAGGAACAGACGGCTGAGCAGCAGCTTGCTTCCGGATAATTTCAGTAATTACTAACGTAATCTTTTAAGCTGTCAGGTATCCGGCGACTCAACTCAACGGCTATACCGTGAAGCCAAATACACCAAGACGTCTGTACGTTAGCCAGATGTTGCTCTCATATATATGAAAAATATGGAACAATCAAATACACAAACTAGTTGGAACAGAGCACGGGGTTATAGGCTTGCTAAATATTGGCCAATGCCTTACATCAGCGAGGATATGAAGTCGAGTTGATCCTTAAAGGACAGTCACCCACAGCAGCAAAGGCCTTCTGAAACAGATCATCTCGATCTTTTTTTCTATAGAACCGCTCGCTGTTGTGCCTTCTCAGGACACCACGTATGCACATTCAAGGCACTAGTTTAATCAAGCAATTTAACCAACTCAAACCTGCAGGTTTATGAGAAGTGCCTTGACCAATCCGAGCCGTGTTCTCGGACTGTTTAGAACCAACATAAGGCTTTTTAGAGGCAAGTGATTTTTCTTATGTGGTCTGAGTTCAGTATTCATATTGTTGCCAATAGCTTTCTATACAATTTCTACGGTGTGCTCTATTCAAGTATTTGGTAAGGTAGACCACATGTGATCTATCGATACAGGATAGTAGTCATGGTTTATCTGTACGCCTAATACAGATTAGGGCAAAGCAAGACTGCTGCTGGGCTTGGTTTGCAACGTGAAAGCATTTTTACTGGTCGAACGGTACGTCCCCTTCACGGAGATCATTGAGCTATGGACTCTGCCTAGGACCAATATGTCTAATATGTATTTCTTCCAGACAGTGTCTATAATTCAATCGATAATAGTGATAAACAGAGTCTTATGTTGTTACAAACTGATTAGTAATTCTGCATTATGTTCAATTTATCCTGCGTCAATCTTATGTCTGTAGATGAAATGATACCTACCAATCATAATCAGAAACTCGGGGGAATCGCACCGCTGTCTAGAGTCGCACTAGGAACACACAGAACGGAACAAGAAACGAGCGTTTACAGCGAGTATACTCCGTATAAAGCAATATATTTTTATCTATTTTATAGCCTTGGAACTAACTATCCCTCTTCTTGTAAGATAGTAGCCTTAGTCTATTCCAATTGGTACTGGCACCAGACTGTACCTCAGGGGACCGCTATCTTACGTCAAGACTTCCAAGTACCGATCAACTGTTTCATACTTTGTTTACTCAAATAACCCTACCATGACCCAGGAAACCTGTATGGGGTTCAACCAACCTAATGTATCTCGACACACCGCTGCTATAAATAGGGTGGATGTTGGTCCGTGACAGATTCCAAAATCTCCCAAACATCAACTTCTCCCAAGTCCGACTTTTCCAAGCCTCTCACGAATCCCATCTGCTAAAACTTTGCTTCCACACCAATCCCACACAAGTCCTTCCACCAACATGCACCAATGTACGCATCAATCACACGTCAATGGCGCGCACTTGCACACGAGTTTCATCCTTAATGTGCGTACTGACACTCAAAAACCACTCTGGTCAAAGCACCTCATGAAGCCATTCTGATTTCCAATATAGTCATCTATAAGATAATCAGTAATGAGCAATAGTCTGAATATAACCAAACTTACTCGTATCAATAGAAGTAGAATCATAGTTTCCGGCTTCATTCCTACAGCTAGCCGAAAGGATAGTGCCACTGAGTGAAATACTATTACAGCTTCCAGGAAATCCACCACTAGAAATCAGTTAGTTAGCCATTGCTTTAATAACTAAACATCGTGCTCATACTTTAGTGCTGCAGCCAAATATCCATTATAGTTTGCGAAACAGGACTCAATAGCAATTTCAGTACCGAGATTGTAAATTCCCGATGGCTCCTTACAATCTGCGCTAAGAAGCCAATGAGGATTGTAGCTATCTGCTGGATAGAGTTCAATTGTCTGGCAGGTTGCTGCGTAATCTGAATTGGCTGCAACTCTGAGAGAGAATATCCCAAGAGCGAGCTGCATCAGAGCAGAGGAAGAAAGAAGCTTCATGATTGCTTGCAAGTATTGTGAAATGACTTCTCAGGTAACAAACTTGTTAGATGTTAGAATCAGTGTCTGAAATATGAAATCAATGAGAATTTACGCTCTTTAAATACTTTTATGAGAGGCAAGCAAACTTGGTCCCTGTACTTCTTGACGTTACATCAATTCTATCCGGTTGTTCTGTCACATAGTAAGAACGTATGATGGTCCAGGATCGATTGCAGCGTAAATTGCTAGTTCGTGATGATATCGTGAGGCGTACAGATGAACCAGATGCCTTATCGAATAGGGATTGTAGAAACAGACAGGCGTCTGGTGCTTCCGGTCTACAATATATAGGGACAATTTCTTTGGTCCTAGTCGCTACAACATTCATATCGTCACTGCATGGGAGGCCTTCACTAATACGGAGTTTAGTCTTTTATAGGCTTAAGCTGCAGGGTGAGCGTACATGCTACACATTTTCTTTAAGTACAAAATGCTACAGTCTACAGCCAAAAACAACAGCTCTAATTGACGGACACGTCTCTTTCACTTCCATAGGGTCATCCTGACTAGCTCGCTATGTGGAGCTCGTGGACTTCATATTGTATCCAGATCAGGTGAGGGGAAGTGCAATTTTAGGATATTCCGCTGAGGCACGGCATGCCCAAATAGGTAGATATTCTATTCGGGGGAAAATATCTGCTGAGAGCGACGCAGCAGCGTCAACTGCTAATTCAGAATGCATATAGACCCTTCCTCTTTTCCTACATTCTACATGACTGATATTTGAAAAGCACAGATATTGTGCATCATCTAATTAGTCAAAATTTTATACTATGCTCGTCTTAAGGCCTAACCCTTAGCCCCTACTACGCACATGGCTTTAAGTTCTTTATATTCTATGAGTTAAGTAACTTAAATTATGATCAAGTGGGCTAGCCAGATCTTTATATATCAAATCATAGCCCATGTATGCTCTTCCTTCCTGCATTGCTCTACTTGAATGATTTATAGGACCTCCGTCAAATCAATCCTACACGCTGATTGTTTTTGTATTAGGAAATTTTCGTTACATTTATGCACTCGGTTGCAATGTTTGACAGTGGGTCATAGGATCAGAACAAGTGGTCCCATTCAGACCCTGCAGCCAGCAGCCAGTGCGCGTTACCAGTTTAGCTCGCTTACTCACACTTTCATAGGTCAGTCACCAGATGAGATAACTTTTAGTGTTGAATGATAGCTCTAAGTAGTATGTTGTGTTAGCCTTTCAGATTCTGCGGAGGTTCATCGAGTGGAGAGTGCAGCAAGCGAGAGTTGAGGCTGATATATGCTATTCCTCATAGGGTATGGAGTGAGACATTTAAATCGATTTTTAATATCCTAGCATATGCATGGTATATCAAGAAATGAAGACTTGAATGATGATTGGTAGGAGAGGCTCTAGATGTGGCACCTCGCCCTCCCCAAAATGTGGTCTGCATCTCGGCGCCAAACTTGCCAGTGATACCTAACAAAAATGAAGGCTTTTTAATGCACAATAATATGTACTAGTACGAAATAATTCACGGACAAAGATTCCGCTGAACCCCGCAGTGAGCAATTTTGAGCTCAGTTGCCAGCTAGGCTCAATTACCCGAACCTGAGCTTAAGTACCTGAGCTATCTTAAGTATCCAAAAGCTGCCTGTACATAGAATAGTCTATCTATTCTGCCACCACCTTAAGGCCTTAGCGCGCACACTGCAGGGTTCCCAAGGCTTTAGGGGTATAGACGTCAATGTAGAGTAGTCAGGAGGGAAATAAATCTGTCACTTGCAAACTGGACATGACAAAATGTTTATAAGAGCAGTGTCTCTCAATCGAGAGCCATTGCGGGAGGAGGGTTATATTACTTTCCGTGTGGTGATCTGCACTTGTAAAAGTCCGTGCTAAGGATGAATCAATGTAACTGGTCCATATAGGCACCGATAAACCGTCGGAAAAACAATCCCATGATTCGGCGCTTTTGCACCCCATTGATTAAAAGTTCAGTCTTCCATTCTTGACCTACATATCATGCATAGTAGCATACACCAGGGTATCTAATATTGGGTTAAATGTCTCACTCATACCCAAGTCTATGGAATAGTGCATTGTAGCCTACACGTTGCACAACATGCACGTTCGAACAACCCTCAATGGCTGCAGACAGTGGTACTAGTTGTGATGCATCTCGCATTTCCAATTAACACCCTAGAAGATCTACTTGTTGCTTTAAACGTACTGTAGCATACTGTATAAGTAGTCAATATTTTTCTTTAAAGGCGTTGAGTCCTCGGCCTTTACGAGTCTGAATCTCCTCATCCGTATTGTTTCAAGAAATCTAAAAATCCAAACCCCATATTTTGAACATTTCATTACTTATTCCGCTTAGGCTTCTCAGCCTCATGCCCAAAGTGGGTGCAGACAGCGGCTATGGCGCAACTTGTAATTCCTCTAGGTACTACAATGCGGCCGACGAACCCAAATAAATCTACGTCAATTGCTGAGAGATCATCTCAATGTGCCAAGGCATATAATCGAGTTTGAAATAAACTTCAAGAGCCTTATTTTTGACTTTATTCTACACCTCTGTAATTAACTGCGCTCAGAAGACGTGACACGTCACAACCATGAGAGGGGTAAGATACAGGGATTAATGTAGATAGAGAGTTGATTGGAAGTCGTATAATAGAACGTCAGCTTCCAGATAGTCGGGTGTGTCATGTTATCGCAACCTTGGAATATTTAATAATGTGTTCCTTCTAGTAATCCAAGGTATATGTGCAACGGTCCCACCTATTTCAAAAAGCTGAGCGAACGAGGTAACAGGAATGATATAAGTTTGTTCATGAAATAAGAGCTATTTTGCGTATATACTTTCCACAGTAAGGCCGAGCCGCAAAGTATGCCAGATCTCTCGCCGGAAGAATGCATTGCACGCGTCGTGTGGGCAGCGCACATCCTCTCCTATCTCACAAAAAACCGAAACCATGAGGAGCTGCTCGATGTCAATGATCACGCCAAATATGATAACAACACAGACGATTCAGAAGAGTGCGAAATGGACTACGAGTCAGAGAAAACGGTGATCTTATCGGGTCCTCGAGACTCAGTCCGCCAGAAATTCCTAGACTGTATTGCGCAGCTGCTGTCGCCGTGGAAGGGTTGGGACGATGTTACGGCAACCGCCTTGCGTGAAGAAGAAGATAGAGTTGAGGTGAATATTGCAAGGAATGACGGGTTTATTTCCGATAGTCAGGCTGTGGTTTGTTGTAACATTTTGGAGGAGTATCTGGCTGGCAATTCTGGAGGTAGGAGACAAATTTGGTCTCATTGTTGGGTAATTGAAAGCCCGCTTACTGAAACATAACAGCTGAGACAGGGACAGACGAAAATGCAAGTCTCCTCACCGACTCCGAGCTCAAACTTCTAGACTACAACTGCCGTCGGGTGGATTACTGGATTGACAAGATTCAAAATTTGCGAAAGACAGACCAGAAATTGTTGGACAAGACACCTCAATGCAGTCTCGGGCAGGAGTCTGCATTTGAGGTTTGGACAATTATGAAGGATCTTATCCTGCAATATAATCCAGCCGATGAGGGAGCCATCAAGTGTAGGCATCTGATAGTCCAACAAGCATACAATTGCCTCAATTTTGAACGATTCCGAGACTTACTGTCACACGCTTTTGGTCCACAGCTCGGCTCGAAGCTCTGGAGCATGCTAAATTTCATTGCCAGGCCGCTGGTCGATTGCCGATTAATGAGATCACTGGCTACCCGAGAGCTGCAGTTCCAAAATTGTAAGCTTTCACTAGTTCCGCTGAAACCTAAGATGACTTTGGATGTGAAATATGTGGTTGGAATAACCGAGGCGTGGGATCGACTAGGGCTGGGATCTACACCTGAAAGCCTTCTTTCGTCGAGCCAAGTTTTTGAAATGACCTGTGCAAAGTCATCTACTCTGCATGCCGAGATGCAACTAGTATTGCACTGTAACGATGGGTCTGCACCTCAGCCTACTCTGAACTACTTTGGATGCAGTAAAAAGACCTGCTTGCTTTGTGAAATCTTTCTGAGCGCGTTGCCAAATCCAATTGTAACACGTGGAAGGCATGGTATTTGCTATCCTGCTTGGGCTGTGCCTGGCCCAAGGTCGTCTACTACACAGGTCGCCATTGAAAGTTTAGAGAAGAATCTTGTAGCTCGCATTCGAGGGGTTGTCCAAGATTCGATGCACGGCGGGCAAAAGCATACCGCCCCGAATGTCATGCAATCTGGCATAGTTTCAAGCTTTTCGCAGTTGACTTTACAAGAATGGCAGCAGAGACAGGAGGAAGTGCGGCTCTTCAATGAGAAGCAGACAGCTCAACGCAAGGAGATGCTGATAACGTGAGCTTGCTTTTCTTTATCAGCAGATACTGAATAGGTAACTAAGCATCACACTGTATAGCGAAGGTATTGTCCCATCAACAGAACCAAGATATTGCCCGATTGAAAATTTCGAACCGGAAGATTGTTGTGTGATGTGTAACACCAGACCAGGATTGCGCTGCACGAAGTGTTGGAGCATATCCTATTGTTCCAAAGACTGCCAGAAAAGTGATTTTTCTTCACATAAGTTGCTCTGCAAAAAATTCGCTATTCAGCCTGATAGACCGACTTTGGAACACAAAAGGGCCATAATATTTCCGGTTGACTCAGACAAACCATATTTGAGGTGGATTCCATGTAGGCGCCAATATGACAAGGAGGACGGCGTCAGCTGGACAGAGATTGCCCCTTTTCCCTTTCTCGGAAAGGACAACCCTGTCAAAGGCGTAATGCGCATCGAACATAACCCAGTACGGTCTCGCAACCTGGGGGCTGGGTTTGCAGCCTATTCACCGTATAAGGAGGGATACTGTGTCTGCTTGATACATCGCGAAGCTTATTTGATTGATGGATCGATTACGAATAGAAGTGTTTTAGCTTCTGTGGCAGCATCATGCACATCCCCGACCCCGCATGAATATCGTGGTCCTATGATTGCTCTACGAGGGGTTCATCATGAAGACTATGCTGACATAACCCTAGCTGACTTTCGACACTTGATGGACTACCTGATAAGCTATCGAAACACGCATATAAAGGAAAGCGTTCCAGATCTGCATCATCGCGCCCCAACAACCGTTCGCGGCGTAAAGATTTGCTGTGACGGCGAAATTAATATTCATGGATCAAACCCCTTTGTTGCCGTCGACGTCACTGGAGCAAACCGGGTTGCCCTGGGCGAAGGATCTATCTCGCCTATTTCTTGTTGCCTTGGCATGCCTCTGATGTTATGGAAGGACTCAGGCAGTGAGTTCTTCCATAATCCGCCGGGTTTGCATAATTCCACTATGGTGGAAGACAATGAAAATGCTGCGTTTTTAATGATGGGTACCAATCCTACCAGAGACGACTGGGGTTGGGTGCCCGCGTCCTGGAATAGAGACATTGGGAACGTCTGGGCAGTTCGTGCAGACGGAATTGATTTGTCCGTGGACGATGTGGCAATGATGTGCCACTTTGCAAGGCACAAACTACAACGCATGTTTGAGGATGAGATGGAATCTGAACTCCCCAACACAGAGAGTAGACAGAGAGTTCTAGATTTCATTACCTGGGAAAACATGACCGCTTATTGGGATAAAGTTAGCTAGCAGAGCATTTTTTATATATCCCTCGATGGCAAACTCGTTTACCAAGACCAAGTTGAGGGCATAGTGGCCGCTGCGAGCGCAGCACAGAAACGAGGCGTCTGTCTATAAGAAGAGGTTGAACTAGTCTCCAGTCATGTTACATGAACTATTCAAATAGTATTTGATTGTGTTTTGAAGAGTGGCTTTGAGAAATGCTACATTACTCTACACTGGACTGTTTATAACTAAGGGAATTGTAGTGTGATTTAAGGCAGGTCAGTGCCGATGCAATCGTCTTGCCATTGAGTGGCATGATCGATGTCATTGACCAAAGCATCCATAAGCATTTCAAAGACAGTTTCTCCTTGCGATACCTCTATCACCGACCCTTCTGGGGTGCATGGACACTGCTCACACAGCATCTCCTAGGCCAGTCATCCATACTTCAAATCCGGCTCGAAACAGGAGATCATAGCCGAGTGACAAACAAAGTGCGGGCAACGTCAGATGTATCAACTCCTCGCCCAATACTTTGAAGAAATCGGTCGACAGGACGAGTGATGGAAAACTATATCGTTGGAGCTGGCTGGGCTAAGACCATGGGGTTTGTATGAAATTGATGATTTTGCGGACGTTGTTGCGTCGCGGGTTTTAGGGTACTTGGGTGTGCTGGATAGATGCATGTCACAGACAAGCCTTGGCCAACGGGCTGAATGATATCGAGACATATTATCTGATGAGGTGCGATAGGACGATGTTTCAATGCTGGGGGATTTAGCGTGCTGCTTCGAGAGTTTATAGAAGGGTGCGTCGGGCATGAACTCATAGACGTCGTTGATTACATAGATGGTTCTTCGCTGACGACCTCAACAACATGGAAAACCCAATGGCCAATTACAATATTGAACACTTTGCAAGCATCTAAACTAATATACGGCAGCTACATCACACAACCAACCGACAAGGCACAAATAAACTAAAATAAAATTAGATAATAAACCGATCCATAAGTCATCGCCCCTTTCTCAACGCCATCCCATGGTACACACATACACAAGGTAATTTTAGTATTCAAGGATCATACATTGAAACACTGAAATTCTGCAACAAAATATCAAAAAAAGCCAGTATAGATAGAACATATATATATATAGAGATTGTCCTAAATGAGAAGCAGAAAACAAGAAGTTACAAGTATGGCGGTTTAGTAGTCCGAGTACGCATCGTAGCCACCAGGGTAGGTGTATGCCGCTGCAGGCATAGAGTTTGGTGGTGGTAGGCCGTGGGCCGCGCTCATGTTTAGGCGTCGTTCTATCACAGATTACGTTAGTTTTGGGACAGCTTGGTAGAAATGACGGAGAAGGGGGAAGGGGTACCTTTCTCAAAATCGCGCCAGCGCTTCATCGTAATCTTGCTACTATCAAATTCACCCTCGGCTTCACCATGGCCGCCCTTGCCGGTATCGCCAGCCGTCTTTCGCGTATCTCCCCAACTAAAGTCGTCGAATTTCCAGAATGCGTATACCGGCAGAACAAAGTTCCATACAGGTAGCGAGAGAAGGTAAATAAGCATCCAGAGGACGTAGACCCATCTGTTGGCAGTGACGATGATCAAAACACCAGGGAGACCCAAGATCAGAGCCAGGAGGACCAGTGGAATGACTTGGACGGGTTTGGAGACGATGGATTTGACGACGACGTAGAATGTGAATGAGATAGCGGCGGGGAGAACGAGAGAACCGATCATGTCGATGAAGACGACGAATTGCATGCTGAAACAGAATGTACCGCACAGATCGCGCACGAAGCACAGCTCGAAGAGGTTGTGGACGGTACTGTTGATCCAACGACGACGTTGGGACAAGAGGACCATGAAGCTGTCGGGGACGGTTGTTTTGCAGACCGCTTGAGGCACAAAGACCTGCTTACGCTTGGGGAAGGTTTTCAACATCAGAGTTGTCAGGTAACGATCCTCACCAAGCAGGAGCAAGTTCTTCTTGTGGAGAGTGTCCACGACATTTTCAGAGTAGTGCTCAACGATATCCGGATTGGCCAAGATAGGGACCCAGTAGTTCTGGCCACCCTTGGGCGCTTTGATACGGTACATGGAGAAACAACCAGGCAAACAAGTGACACCACCAAAGACAGACTCGAAAGCCTTGGATTGATGGTGAGAAATGTAGTATTCAAACACCTGGATCATGGTAACCCAACTCTGAGTCTTGTTGGCAATCTTGGTTTCACCACATAGACCCATAATATCTGGATCCTTGACCATCGCCGATACCATGTGAGTAAGACTATCTGGGAACACTTTCGTATCGGCGTCAACCATGAGGATGATTTCATAGTAGTCAGGTGATATGCCAGTAATATTCCAGAATCCATTGAACATTTCAAATTCAAGCTCAGTCATACGCTCGTCAAACATGACCTTTTGCAAAAAGGACATAAGGATAATCTGACTATCACGTTTTCCACGGTTACCAGGTTTGGAAGCCTTTGCCTCGGCCGGTGTACCGCATTTGACAACGACAAGCATCGGGACGCGTTGCTGTTTCTCGGGAGGAATGATGGACGTCTGTCCGTAGTCATAGAATCCGGCATAGATCTTGGCCATGTTGTGTCTCTTGGAGCCGGATGCGACAGCTACATACGAGTATGGTTGAACCTCATCAGGTGGAATAACATGGTCACGCATCATACCAAGCACGTAATCAGGGGTAGACATTTCTTCACCTTTACCCTTGATGATACCGTCACAGATAACCAAGATGGTCTTGTGGCTGTTGGGATAATCCGTCAAAGCAATCGAATCCAGAGTGGAACGAATACCTTCCTCACCTTCGGAGTAGCAAGTGACCAAACATAGAGTATGCGCCAGAGGGAACCCAAATGGCTGCCATTCGGGCGGTGGCTGCGGAACAACATTTTCATGGATGAAACCAGCGGGGCCTTCACTTGAGCCAACAACAGTCGAGTGCCTTTGGTCGTACTGCGAAATCATCAAACTCGTTCGGCTATCTGCAGCGGCAGCATTGTGTCGGGAGATTGCATCCACGCTCAATGACCCATTACTACTGTTTCCACTCAATTTGTACATCGAGTTTGAGCCATTCGCAGTAGGAACAAGACGAGACGAGGAATTTTGACTGGCCATTGTTGTCGGTTGAGCCTTGACTCTGCCGCCTCCGACTGCATATGGACTGGAGAAGCGCGACGTGGTTGGCAGGAAGCTTGCGCGCTTCCTCGCCATCTTCTCAGGAACTGGAGGATCAGCGAGACGTGGAGCAGGGCGATAAATATCCTCCGTCCAATCCTCAATTTGTTGTGCACGAGCTCGACGATCCAGTGTCATTGATGAACGATTGGCAGCGTACTTTTTGGACAAGAACCAGTGGAAGAACAGAGCCATGGAAAATCTCGCCGCGACGATGGAAAGAATGAAGACCAGCGAGACATACAGCACGACCTGAGATGCAATGCAACCGATGGTTTTGGTATCAATCGACCCAACTCGAATGATCTGAGACAAGCATTTTGCGACACGCTTGTCCTCAGATGTCTGGAACGCATAGGTGACGTCGGTACCTCGGATCTCAGTGTTGCTCTGCATCTCCGTGAATAATGAAGGAAAAGACACTTGGCTAGAATTGAGGTAAGTGAGCAAGTCAAGATCGAGAACATCGCCCGAGTACACGATGAGATTGCGAGACTTGTTTCCCAGATCGTCCCACGTAAAGTAGACATCGCCGGAGCTGCTCAGCGAGTAAAAGTCATTTCGTGCTTCGCTCGAAAGATGGCACATATATCCCAGATACGGTGTAGCAGTTTCGTTTGTCTTGTAATCTGATCCGTCTTGATTGTAGGTCTGACAGGGGAAGTACCAGGCGAGCTCGCCTTTACTGTTGGTGGGAATATCGGAACCATCGGCGAGAGTGATAATATCCTTACACGCACCATTGACATTCTGAAACAAGAAGCTACCGTCCTTTCCGGAGTACTTCACTGGCAAGTCGTACAGGACATTGGAGTCTTGAGGCACTCCGTAAGCAGCTGGATGCTTTGAATTTGAAAGGTCATAAGCCTCGCCGTGAAAGATCATGTAACCGGAATCGACGTGACCAGCAGCTATACGTGTTTTTGTTGTACCACAGACAACCTGGGTGAATCCAAAAGTCAAGAAACCGACAAAGGTACATACCAACAGGATCAGGCTGATCAAGCCCATCTTTTCACGCCATGCCCGACGTTGTTCCGCTTTCCTCATACCCATGCACGCCATTACCATATCGGGAGCCCAGAAAGTGACGAGCACACAGTAGGCGTACCACGGGCTAGGGGCAGGAACGTGTTCGCGAACCTTTTGTTGACGTTTCTCCTCCGACTCGATGTGCTTTTTGGACCCTTTTCGGTAGAGCTTCTTCTTCTTGTTGCGCGAGCTTGGAGCAGGCTCGACTCGTTCCATAGGCTTGTTCAGATTTCCTTCGAGGGCATATGCGTGCGCCTTGGAGCCTGTCTTGAGAGAGCTCTCGGTACTTCCGGTAGTCTCGGCATCTTCGGGGTTATCAAGAACGGGATCGTGACCGGTTGTCGACGGATATGTGGCCATGTTATGGCTCTGGGCATACTGCGCATAATGGTAATTGGGATGGTCGGGACCTATCTGGTTTCGCTCCGGACGAACAAGCGATCTTTTCCTGCCCAAGTCGGTGGTAGGTGACCCGCGTGTAGGCGGTCCTCCTCGCGAGGAGGAATGAGAGACATGTCTGCCATGAGACCGTCGAGGGGATGTAGGGGTGTATGGTGATGGGGGAACCTCGGTGAATGTGCCGGATTCGATATCGCGGCGGCGGCGTCGAGACGATTCTCTAAATCCGGGCTGACTATCTTCGCGTCGCGAGGATGGAGCGTTGGTTGGTCGTTGCGGAAGCGACATGATGGAATGCTTCCGGAGTCTATTCGAAAATGTCAATTCTGTTCCACATTCCACGGAACGTCGAGTGCGATCGATCTCTTACCACGTTTTGACCCGCCCTGTGTCCGCTGGAACAGTAATTATTTCGTAGAAGCAGATAAAACCCTTCTACTTCACCTTCAAAATAAATAAAATCAAAGTCTCAACGCTGCAGACATTAGAGCCCCAGAGTTCGGCTATTGACCGGTGCAAACAAGTATATTCCGAAAACCGTTCCTAATGCAATATGCAGAAACTCGTATGGCAGTAAGCGCTGATTGATTAGAGCCGTCGAGAGCAGGCACGATGGATGTAACAGATAAATCGTAGCACGGCGTTCCGAATAACAAAACCAGCCGACCGACAAAGTGGTGGATAGTAATAGCGAAGGAAAATGCGAATTAATCGAATATGATTTGAAGCGAGCGAACGAGAAGAACCGAAAGCGAAGCAGCAACGGGCGTCGTGTGCTGTTGTATGTATGCTATGTATCGGTATGTACAACAGGAGAAAACCCAGCGAGCGGCGATAATTCGATGAGTCCCGCCCACTTGATTCCTTATTCTGGATGCAAGGAAAATTGATATGACAGGGAGATGAAAGCGAGCGATGGTGCAGGCTTGTGCTGCTGACGGAGGGGTGAGCGAGAGGAAGTGGTAGAAGTGAGTGTCAGTGTACACTCGAGTTGCTACGGTAGTGAAAGAGGCTTGATTTTGCTTGACCATAATAAGACATTGCGGCCTGAGGCCACGATGCAAGCAATCAGGGGAGGCGCTGTGGGTGTCAAAAGTGTGCCGTAGCAAACACGGGACTTGGCACAACAAAAGCAAGGAACAGCCCGCTTTGACGTCTACGATTTTGACTTGTTATACGCAGCGCTACGATTCCATGAGAATTGCTTTCGTTCGGCATACAAAAAACCCAAATCACATAATATTGTCCTCAAGAGCTGGTCTATTATGGCATTTAGTATCGAAGCTGTTGTGCCTGCCATCCCGACTATTCACTCTGATCGAGACATGTTTATTTGTTGTCTGCCCAGGCTCCCCACCAATCAGCCAATAACCTGCTTAGAAAATGGGACCTTTCGGCACTAGCCGGGCTCACATTGGTTTGATAGTTATGATTGGTTGAACCGACGGCTGCGATGGGGCCGTTTACTGTGAGAGCACTCTGGTCCAAGCTTTGGTCCGCTTGTGACCAATCAGATCTAGGATTCTCGATCACGTTATTCAAGACCCGAAATAGCAGTCTCTAATACGGAATAGCGCCATCACAGGGTCTCAGATTGATCAATATTTCTGCTCTTGGCGCCTGGAAAGTTCATGACTTCATCTATCTTGTGAGGTTTCATACGCATCTACCTACGTACATATCAATCAGAAATAGAGATCGATAGTGGGCATATACCATACGGCAAGCCGCCAATTGTCCACTGCAGATCTCTTTGTAGACCAACCCGTCGGCAGTGAGAGACACTGCCGGTACGTCAACAGTTTTGACGCCACTGCCATAATCCAAATCCCTCTCCAAGTCGTATGAATCATGACTCTGAAGGTGGCGCGTTGCCAGCCAAGGGGTTGAGGATGAGACTGATGCTCGATCACAAAGTGTGTTCATCGAAGATTGGTGAGTTTGGGTCTTGACTGAATAGTTTTACCTAACGTACCCGACAGATGAACAAGCAGACCCCGTACTAAGTACAAAAACAGTCGGTTAGGGGAAATAATCTCCGTTTCGGCGATGCCAAGCCAGTCAAGCCACTGACCTTTGGAGCCTCTCCAAGGTTTAAAATTTGTTCGCTTTAGGCATCTCGCGCAGCCAGAGAAGAAATTACCTCATTATCGCCAAGCCGCCTCAATATTTTAAAAATTTAATAAGGAGAAACTTATTGTCGATATTGACGTTGGTTTGGTGACGCGTCTTATGCACATACGCCAATTCATAGGGAAATTTGCAAGACATGTCTTGGTGCAGGATGAATAAGTGGATACTACATGATTCAAGAATCAGATTGAGCACTCGCTTGGTGTGTACGTATACAGCAGAGCCGCCTAGATGAAAAATTGATCAAGTCCGGAGGCCGGGACAGCTACATATGAAAATTAATGAAGAGGGCTAAGAGGTGCTAAAATGTCCAAGTGTCTTAGACACCACACTTACTAGGCCGCATCATATCTAGTCTGTTGGCATAATGCATTTTCACTCTTGTTCAGGGGGTAAATTGGAAATTATTCGACCAATTGATGCGAGAGATTAACGAGGGGAAGCCGTAAATCAGAAGTTTTTAGACTTTAAGGTTTGTTCGTAAGCAGCGAGTGCTCAACCAATTTGTTGAGGCTTGAGGCTTGAGGCTTGAAGCTGAGGGCTGTGTTGGACTCTAAGAAAGAAAACAATTCTGCCTTATGACAATGAAGTTTCAGGGAGAAGCACCTCAAGTATCCACAGCGAATATCAATGAGCTTACAGGATCAGCACACGCAGACACGAGGTTGAAGGGGCGTATCAGGAGAAGACGAGAAGAAGGAAAGAATTTCACCTTCGCAGCCCCACCTGACAGGGCCAGCTTAGTCTTACGTGTAACATCGACGGAGGCAACTCAGTACGTACTGAGCCAGTAGTTACACTTCTAACTTCCATGCTTCATAAGGGCCGTCGTTGTTGAATATCACTAATTTCTATGTGCAGCTGTGCGACAATGCTTGTGTCAAATACCATTAAGACTTCGTCATCGCTACCGAGCTGAATACACGGATGTTCATTGGTTGATGATCTTGGAAGCTGGAGCCGTGATCACCATCGAAGATCCATACTATTTCGGCTGTTCGATGGAGAGCTCCTGAACATCTTCATATTTTGTATTCTTCTCAGTGCTGCTCAACAGATTGTATGATGCGTAGATGTAGTCTTGGTGGTTGGCAGCAAAGTACCTGTGCCGTTCCATGGGACGAACATTTCAGCAGTGACTCGGATCCAAGTTTCAGCAAAGCTCAGGTGGAGATCTCAACTGAACGGGCAGAAAAAGGAAATAAACGAGCCCCGTATTTCGTGCTGTAGTTTGCAGCAGCTCGCAGTAAACGGCTACATGGAGAATGCCGTAAGCCCCGCCACCATTCTCAGATCAGATTGCGATTCTGCCTGTTGTTTTTGCTGGGGCAGATGCATATGTACACATAATCGCATTGAGCATCCTGGCTTAGTATACAGCTCAAATCAATTAAACTTTAAAGTCACCGCCCATTCAGGCAGTGAATATGCCACTTTCGTAACTTGAGGTTCATATGTGGTAAGACTGAAAATTGTCTGGAGCCGTACATATCCCGAACACACTCGTAGCAGTCAAGTCTGGTTGACATGGCTCATGGCAAGGCAAATTCTGCAACAAGCACAGCCTTACTAAAACAGAAAGCTAAACAGTTCTTACTACTGACTAGAGAAATAAACATTGCCAGAAAAAGTGCTGGTCTTGTTAAAGTCCTTCCGCTTCCGTCACTCAGCCAGCCCGCCAAAGCAACCTTCCTTCCTCTTATGACCTCTCCATCCCTCGTCATCTTCTTCCCTTTCCAACTTCCACGGCAACCTCGACAAATCACCCTTCCCTCGTTTAGTGGTCGATTGTCGTCAAACTTCCAGAGTACATCTTTCCATTCGCTTCTGACAACCTCTGCCTGTTAGTGTCAGCGCCTAAGAAGAGATCTGTGCAAAAGTGAGACCGTTCTTCCAAGGTTGAATGCAACCCGCTCCCCTCAGCAAGTACCTGCGTCTGTGTCGGTGAGCAATTTGTACTTTACTTTCGGTGGACTCGGTTTCTGCTTCTTATTTTTCCTCGCCTTCATTTTTCTGTTTTTTCCGTACAGAATTTACATGGTGAAGGCGTCGACATCAATCAATGCACTGACTTCACTACCACTGTTGCAGGGTCCACCGTCACATTCCAAGGAAACGGAGCGCCTTTTCTCTACTCTGTCAGCACAGAGGCTAATTGTACATTATTCCACCACCTTCGTTCAAGCGATCGCTCGTCTCGTCAAGTCGCATCGCCAATCAAAAAATTACCGCGTCAATTCGATTGTGTCATTCGTTGCAGTTCTTTGATCATTCACACTCCTAACGTCTCATCTACTACCCTTCCTGTCACCAACCCTATGATCTAGCAACAACGATCTACACGAAATCTTCACAAACCTCGGTCACTATCCGGCAGTGATCTGCTATCTCAGTTCACTCCATCCGGAGAAGAGAATTGAGCCATGATGGCCAGCCCAGTCGGTGACACCTTGGTCCGTCCTTCTTCGATATCCCCTCCGCCGCCGGTATACCTACGAGCATCGCCTCCGCCGCAGCCACCTTCATACGACCCTCCAGCCATTCCTGGCCATGAGAATGTAGGAGAGCAATCTGCTACTTACGAAATACGCAAGAAATCGCCCCCGGTGTCTGCTTTAAACATCAACCATGAAGCACACATCCAACGTTCTCCGCAGTCTCCCGTGCATATCGACGGCTCCGCGTTTGATCCCCAGGGCTTTAGCGCTGTGATTGAAGGCTCCAGCTATGACCTGGACTCGCGTTTTTCCACAATAAACCTTTCGGATCCGGCGCCAGCTTCGACAACGAGATCTACTTTGCCACCTCGAGTTGATTCCATACCTGCAGCATCTGCGCAGACTATAGCTGATCGTCATACTTCCGCCAGCACCGGATCGTGGTCATTAGTCGGTAATGAGAAGGAGGACGGATCGAAACAGGCACCTGCCGACCAGCAAGGAGTTGCACAAACCTATCATAATTCCAATTCGTCAGAGGCCAGTTTATCGAGCTCACAGCAAATGGACTACCAACCTCTACAGTATCACCATCGACCTCTCCGTGACTCTCCCACCGGACGACACTCTGGCTCGTCGTCTACAGAGTATCTTCCTCAGACGAATCAACTACTCTCCCCGCGACAGGGAGCTTTCGGAACCTCACGCCCAATGTCTGTTTATTCTTCTACATCCGACCTTCGAGCTCGCTCGCCACACGGTCGTAATGTGTCTGGTCATTCACCAGATTCCCGCCCCAAATCAACATATGTCGAGTTGTTGAACACGCCGTATCCACAACAAGTGCCATCGCCAGCCACCAAGGACAATGATCACTTGCGAATGCTGCTTGGGAATAACATCTCGTTGTTAAGTCAGAAGCAAACATTTGAGATGTACCTCGCGAATGTCAAAAAAACCAACGATCCAGCCGTGCAATATGAGTTTGCGGTGTTTATGATCAGTGCCATTCAAGAATTGTACACCGATGAAGATGGTATTACACCAGTTTCAGTGGACAAACAGAAAGATGCGCCTGACGTTACGAAATCCCGCTTACTACTCGAGGCAAAGGCAATTTTACAGAGGCTTGCAGATCGCAGTTACCCTTTTGCGCAGTATTATCTTGGAGATGGATTCTCATCTGGCCTTTTCAGTAAAGGCAAACAGGACTACGACCGGGCACTGCCTTTATTTGTGGCTGCGAGTAAACATGGTCACGCCGAAGCCTCATACCGGGCTGGGCTATGTAACGAGTTTGGTTGGGGTTGCAGAACCGACGGACCTAAAGCAGCTAATTTCTACCGAACGGCTGCTACGAAAAATCATCCTGGTGCTATGCTTCGGCTTGCTCGAGCATGTCTCGCAGGTGATCTGGGATTAGGAAAACGAGAGCGAGAAGGTTTGAAATGGTTGAAGCGGGCTGCCGATACGGCTGATATGCAGTACAACGCTGCTCCTTACGAACTAGGGTTGTTACATGAACAAGGATATGGTCAAGATATCTTCAAGGATGAGTCGTATGCTGCTCAATTATACACCCGATCAGCCGATCTTGGTAATAGGGACGCCAACTTTCGCATGGGAGAGGCATACGAGCACGGACAGTTGGGCTGTCCTCACGATCCGGCGCTGAGTATACATTTCTACACCGCGGCTGCTCAGCTTGATCACCCGCAGGCTCAGATGGCGCTATGTGCGTGGTACTTGCTCGGCGCGGAACCTATCCTCGAGCGGGACGAGGCAGAAGCGTACGAGTGGGCTCGCCGAGCCGCAGAACAAGGTAGAATTATTCTATGATCGTGATTTTATCCACGTGCTAATGAAGTCCAGGACTCGCCAAAGCTCAATATACTGTAGGGTTCTTTACGGAGAGTGGCATAGGGTGTCGACGCGACCCGCTCGAAGCCAATGTCTGGTATGTGAAGGCGGCAGATCAGGGAGAGGAGAGAGCCAAGCACAGACTGGCGGCAATTCAGGCCGCTTCAGAGGGAGCCAACCCCATGTCGGCGGCCAAATCGAAAAAGAAGACCGAAAGACGGCCTTCAAATGAGAAGAGTGAGTTGTAATTTCGACGTACTTGAGCAGCGTACTAACCGTTTTGCAGAGGATAAAACAAATAAGAAGTTATTCGGCATATTTTGAGCTGCTTAGCTTGTCAACACAGTCCCGGGGTTGATCTCTGGCTGCTACGACAGATTTCGAACATGTCACGATCTTCAAGTTCATGCGCTTCGGCTACATCCAACGGGATATACACCTAGGCCCTGAGCCTACATAATGTTGCTTTTCATGCTTTCGTACGTGTTGTGAATACGACAATAAAACACGAACATTTCCCTTCGGTTTCACCCACTTTTTTCCGATCAAACCGATGAGCCAAAAAGCTTTTCAAGATTTGATTCCAGCATATGGGAGTTTTTCTTTATTCATTCCTTCTTTATTTCTTGATTTGCATTTAACTCGAATCCACGCTATATATAATGCACAGCAAGATAATCATCTTCGTTTTCGACCTTTGGCGTTTAACCTGCACAAAATCATGGTTTGGAGGGTTGTTCTTTCCGTTTTCTGTCTCTACCATTGCCTAATACTGTCTCATGAGCACTTGTCTTGATTTTGGAATTTTGATAATACATAGTCGGTACATGTACCCGGGTGCGATAGTACATACAATGAGAGTTTGCATGAATTACTTACCACTCTGTTTCTATATCGATGGATGTATATATACTATATACACGACTAATAACCCCTCCGCCTCTGAAATTGATTAACCAACTCTTGCCCATTTTCCAAGCGCTCTAAATTGAGCTGCAAGACATCTAAAGCACGCAAAAAATATTCTTCACCTGACCAGCTGATATGCGGACTGATCTGTACGTTGTCCGCATCCCACAGCGGATGATCAGCCGGTAGTGGTTCTGGGTCAGTAACGTCCAGCGCCGCGCCACGGATTTGCTGACTATTGAGCGCGGTGACGAGTGCGTCGGTGTTGACGATTTTGCCGCGGGATATATTTGTCAGGAAGCCTTTTCTCGGCGGGAAGTCATCCCCTCCCTCCAACGATGAAGATGGTGTTTTTGATGAGGATGAAGGGGGGGATAAAGAATCAGACCAAACCTCAAACTCCTCTTTATCAAACAGGTGGAGCGTCGCAGCCGTTAACGGCAGTGAAATAACAACATGGTCTGGTTTCGTGTCCTTCAGAAACTGGCGCAGTTCGGCTTTCGTGGTGCCGTGGTGCCATGCAACAGGGATAGTACCATCGGGATCGCCTGTGCCGGGCACAATATACCCTTTATCTTTACGCGATTCCGGCGTGGACTTTGCTGACGCTGTGTACGCGTAGACCTTTGCGCCGAGGGAGGATGCTATTCTCCCAACTGTCCCCCAAAACATCAGCCCCCATCAGCCACACATGAAGAAAAGGAAAAGACTGACTCGACCGCCCAATACTCCCATACCCCAGAATAGCCACTCTTTTACCTGCATGATCACTCTGCCGCACAGACGCATATTTCCTGCCAATCCATTCATGTCTTTTCTGCGCTTCGTACAGACTGGTGTAATGTTTCGAGTTTACAAGCCAATTCAGTAAAACATATTCAGAAATTGGTGGGCCGTGGATGCCCGAGCTGGTGGTTAGCGGCAGGKTTGTGTCTGTGATGTAGGGTTCGTTAATTAGGCCGTCTGCGCCGGCCGAGAAAGTGTGTACTAATTTTATACTTTTCCCCCAATACACGTTAGTTGAGGTTTGGAGGGAAGGTAAGAGGAGGGAGAGGGAGGAGGGGGTACTTTGGCACACTCTCCGGCAAAGGCAGATGACGCTGGGTGTTCAGAGCGATTACAGTTGCCTTTTCGAGGATGTCTATATACACAATTTAGCGCCACTCCAACCCATTTCAACCATGTTATATTATGGTTATTTATCAATCATTGCAGTGAATACAGGCGGGAAGCATACCACTTGGAACGTTCTCTTCAACAGATTTACTAGTATCAACCTGCAAACTCGTAATCTCCAAATGTGGGAATCGGCGTCGGATACCGTCGAGCCATGCCTCCGGCCAGTTTGAGAAGCGTAGGATGAGGAGGTGGTCGCCACCGTGGAAGATGCCTGCGTCGCCCATTTTATCTCTCAATTGGTGGGTAATTTGTGTGCGATTGATGTGGAAGAGACTGAAGAATTGAAGAAACGAGGAACTGAAGGTGGGATGGCAGATTTATAATGTACCTAGGTGGTTGTATTGTTTGCGTAGTTATCTATGACCCCACGAACTAGGTACGCAGATGCGATTGGCTGTTGAAGCTGTCAGTTCGGCGTGAGATAGCGCGATTTTTAGTAGATCGATTGCGCATTTCTAACCAAAAATGAACTAGACCGATGGGATGGAACAATGAGCATACATATTTGTCGAATAAATGTTGATATGAGCATGCCTTCCTGATTGGTCAGTTGAGCGTATTTTGGTTCTTGCTCTTGCTTACAACGAATTTATTTTCTTCTCATACGCGATCCGATAGAAATCTAATTTACAAACCAGCTTTAATCCTCTCCCTCAGAACAGACAACGGCAGATCCTCCTCATCGTAAAACTCCACATCCTCATCGACCCCGAAATCGTCTAGTCTCTCCCCTTCTGCATTTCGCCACGCTTCCTCACCTTCATCAACCTCAATGTGCTCATTGACTTCGGAATTAAAATGCTGCTCATCATCCTCGATCTCGTTGCCTTCTGAGTCTTCTTCTTCGGCAACTTCAGCCTCAGACTCGGCGCCTGTGTTTGACGATTTGTTGTTGTTCTTGTATCGTTCGTGAAACTTCCTTCGCCGCCTGATACCGCCGTCGGCACTATCATCATTGACCACTCCTGCTCTACGAGCTAGATCTTCCTGTTGACGTTGTCTAAAGGCAGCCATTTCATCGGCTGGAGAGTCGAAATGCGGAATTGTGAATGGATCGGTTGATGATAAGATTGGTCGCGATTTGCGTGGAATGCGGTCTGGATCTGGCGGTGGCCAGGATAGATTTGGATCTAGACCGTGTTAGCAAGAAAATTATTTTTTCGGATGATTGGCAGTGTATTACCCTCGAATTCATTGACTTCAAACTCAAGACCAGATTTCCTATCTGGCGTCCTTGCGAGGGGCCAGAACCAGCTAAGAAACTTGATACAAACCATGTCAGCACAAACCAATTACCATCGTTGAATAATATAAAGGGGGACATACATTCCAACTCCCACCCATCCCAGCTTTGACATTGCTCAGAATACCAACATCATACGGAAACTCTTGCTTCCGAATTCTTACTTTCATCCCATCGGGTCCATCCAAGTAACCGCCAAAGTACCTCGCTCGCCGAAGCAGCGTCTTGTGCCGCTCAATCTCCCAGGACTCGATGGTGGTGACGTTGGCACCTATGGCCCAGAGACTGCGCACTAACAAGACAAAAAGAGCGAATAGTGTCAGACTATTTACGACCAGCAGGATGAACAGGTGGCACAGAGCTGGGATGCTGGGGCCTAAGTACTATTCGGTCAAGTTAGTGAAAGTCTTGAATTTTGCAGAGGGAGACGCACGCTGGGCATATTTCTATTCTCCCAGATTATGCCGACTCGGGTGAAAATGAACGACTCAAGGTATATCATTGAAACGACTGCATAGAACAGGAACCGCACAAAGTGCGGAAGCGTAAAGTGAGAAACGCAGTTGCGTGTCCAGGGGCAGTGATGGTCCATTTTTGGTATACATCTGATGGCAAATTAGCAACCTGTTTTTATTATTCAATCCTGATGACATTCAAGGTAAGAGCAACAAACCGCTGACATATCTTGCAGTGATGCGCTCTCGGCGGCTTAAAAGCCGCACACTTCCTACACCATCTCTGCCGCGTAGACCCATCCCCATCAATTTTAACATCTCTTTGATTTGCAGACAACTTATCATTCGGAGCCCAGTCCTTCGGCACACAGCCAGGATCGACTGTGCAAGCTCGATAATAACAAATCCATATAGAAGTTACCAGCGCATTAAACTTCCATGTTTCGGCCTTGGTGAGTGGGCCCGGTTCGAGAAATAGGAACAAGAATTGAGAGGAGTATGAAAGGAAACTTATGAGTGCAGTAACGGCGGGGRTTAMAAGGAAGCCGATATTGAGCGATTCGCCGGCCATGATATCTGCATTGTTGTTCAGGGGATGTGTTGTGTATGTTAATGGGTGAAAGTTGGTCAGCTTGGCGGAAGACAAATCATCTTCTCGTAAGTGCCTAGTTTGTCAGGCATCGATGTCTCACATTATCGACTACAAAATATTTCCAGATGTGTTTATTCTCTACGAGTCTCTTTTTTGGTGTAACTTCTCCGACTATAAATTTGATTATGAAAAAGTAACAAACATTCTCATATATTGGCCAACTACCAATTATATCACATGACTTCGCGTGTCGCTCGCGTTCCCGGGACGCTCCTTCCTATTTCATCATCGCACCTTCGACAGACTCATCCCGCCCAACGACCTTCTCGAACATCATTTGATCAGACTCCTCTACAGGCAACAGAATGACCTAGAAAAATGCCAATTGCCGCCCTGCCACCTTCCACGGCCCAGGCAATCGGCTCAACTTCCATCCTCCCGGATCCCTGCGCCGTCGTCAAGGAACTGATTGACAACGKCCTAGATGCAGGCGCAACATCCATCACGGTAGAAATCTCCCCAAACACTCTTGATCTGATACAAGTCAAGGATAATGGCCACGGCGTCCCTCCGGAAGATTTTGAGAACTTATGCAAGAGAGCGTATACAAGCAAAATTCAGACGCTTGATGATTTGAGGAATGTCGGCGGCCAGTCCCTGGGTTTTCGTGGAGTGGCACTTGCGAGTGCTGCTGATATGGTGGATGTGCTTACTGTAACGACGAGAACAAAGAATGATGTCGTGGCTTCGGTGTTGAAGTATGATGCGGCGGGAGAGCTAGTCAGGTAAGCATGTCTACACAATAGCTTCTTGTATGACCATGCTGATCGCGTAGCACGGAGAAAGCGTCTCATCCTGTCGGGACTATGGTATGTCTGAACGGTTTCTTGAAGAAGATTCCTGTCAGAAGACAGACTGCTGTCAAGTCCGCATCCAAGACCATTACTAAAATCAAGAAGCTACTCCAAGCTTATGCGATGGCGAGGCCCTACACGCGTTTATCACTCAAAGTTTTAAACAGCAAGACCGATAAGGATAATTGGACTTATGCGCCATCCCCGACGGCAAGCATTGTTGATGCTTCTCGCAAGGTGGTCGGAGTGGAGATCGCTGGGCAGTGCGCATGCAAGACTTGGCCTGAAGATGCGGAGGAATCCGACCTATTAGTCAAGCTACTTGCTTATTTCCCGAAAGTCGATGCTGGTAAATCTTCATCCACAGACTCTCGACGTTGTACATCAGTACTAATGACCGCAGACTTTTCCAAAATCGGTGGTTCCAATCAGTATATTTCTGTGGATGGCCGCCCGCTATCCTCCGACGGAGGTACAGCAAAGGAGATTATCAAACTATACAAGTCGTACATTCGCTCTACCGCAAAAACAAAGGGGATTTCAGCGCTGAATGATCCATTTCTCAATCTGCATATTTCATGCTCGCCAGGAGCATACGACGTGAATGTAGAGCCTGCAAAGGACGACGTCTTGTTTGCAGAGCGAGAACAGCTAATTCAGACAATCGAAGAGCTATTTAAAGCAACCTATGGAGAGCTGCAGAAAACTTCTGACATTACGGGGAAAGAATATACTTCTGTCACGGGGTTTAATGTTTTGTTACGACAACCCACTGCACGAGAACCAGTTTCTCCGCCTGCAACAAATCGAATTCCTGCATTTACAAATCAGAGTAAGACTACTCCAGTGACAAATAGGCCAGCACAGGCAGACCCATTCACAGATGACTATGATCCGTCACAATCAGAGTCTCGTCAAACAGGATCGGATGATAATGGCCTCAATCCTTGGTCTATTGCCAAAACTCACTTTTTCCACCGGTCCCCGAAATCAAACAAAGTGACTCAATTCGTTACGCCAACGAGACCAGGTTTCAGGTCTAGCAGCGGGCCAAATGCGGCGGCTACCCAGTCAAGCCCTTCTGACTCAAGCGCATGTTCTCCCTCCTCTCCAGAAGATGTTCAAGTCCCGCCTAGGTCCATCTCGTCATCTACAAGAGGTGGTCGAGGTTCAAATGGCTATACCAAAGCGTCAAGGGAGCGCGACCGGGAACGCTATGGAAATGGATCACTCGATACGTGGTTTGTGAGAAACTCCGGGTCAACTTTGTCAAACACTTCACCTGGAGAGGTATTAGATGACGAATCTGAAACTGAAAGCGTTATGCTTGATGATCTTGACGACATGATCGAGGATACTTCACGAATACCCAATAAGTCATTCAAACTACCTCTTGCAACCAAATCGAAAGAAAAACACCAACTCATATTGTCTCCCAATACCGAGCCCTCAAATGTGCAATCGGAGAAAAGACAGGAGTTTCCAGTCATGGAAGAATGGTCCGCACGACTGCACCGTAGTCTTCCAGACGATCAAAGCTTGTTCAGTAGTCAAGATACGGAAAGAGCACTAGACTTTGAGCGGAGAAAAAAAGAAGCCAATATTGCTCATCGTAAGCAGCTTCGACGGCAGTATTTAGCCAGTCAAGCGGACAGTCAACACACATTAAACTCTCCGCACAAGAATCGCTATCTAGCAGCCAGAGCGACGCTCTCAGAATATAGCCAGCAAAGCCAACTAGATCCGCCTCAGAAAGTACAATCAGCTTCAACCGACGTGTTAACGATGCAGGAGAGTGACCCCCGCACATATTTGATGCGACATCAATCCGCGTTACGAGCCAAAGCGAATGATGCAACCAAGAAGTTGAAGCGTATACCCACAAATCGTCTACCACTGGAAAACATTCCTAAGGGATTTGATATTCACAATCTTGGTGTGAAGCTCGATATATCTTTGCTGCAGCTGACTCACCACTGCAAGTATCTGGCCGAAGTCAACCACTCTGGTTCTTGCAGAGACGGGGACGCGAAAGCCAGCCCATTTGACCCTGTCAGTGAGCCCGATCTTCCTGAAATATGTAAGATCTGGGAGACTGCGATTGGTCGACTTGTCAAAGAAAAGTATCGACTAAGAGAGGTTGATCTTTATGATGCTGATGGCGGGTCTGACGAAGTATTCATCGAGAAAATTGATATTCACGGTGCTATCATATCGAAGTCATCAAAATGACTTTTTCTCTCGCTACTATGTCTGAAATTTATTGACATATCAAAAAGATGCATTTATACGACCATGCGTTACGAACATATTAATGAGAGATTTATCGAAAATATATAAATTAGCTGCATACAGTATGCTAGCCCTAAACCGAAATATGTACAAATGAAGAAAGTCATTAATTCATTAGTTCACCCAGCATCAATTAGTCTCTACAATGATCACAATCGCGAGCGACAGTAACGTCACCCCAGCCTATATCGTCAGCCTAGCACCAACACACAGAATATGAAGGGTTGAAAAGAAGCAACTTACAACAAAAGTCATAAACCCAATCCCATGTATCTCCCACCCACCAGACAACACCTTCCCCCTCGCAATCGCATTCTGCTGCCTCCAAAACCGATACGCGCCCAACAACGCCACCAAAATTGCGCAGGTCTGATACGCGACACTAAGCGGAACAGCGACAGACGCAAATTTTAAGCGCGAAGAAGGCCCTCCTGGTGCTCCTGAGGACTTTGAAGATTGCAGGCGGAAGAGCTGCGCGACGAGGACGCCCTGGATGGAGAATGTGGCGGCTGTGCGCATGTAGGCTAGGAATGTTCTTTCAAGTGCTTCCCATCCCATACTTCATCAGTAAAAAATCAAAGCAGACTATCTTGAGAGATGGAGGTACCGAAGTAATCTCTATTCCCCTTATGAGCAACCTCCAACGTAACATTCCTCGCCCAGAACCGTCGCACGGATTCAGGTATCCATTTCGTTCCATTCTTTCTGTTTTGCCTTTCTTGTCTACAAGCGCTGGAGGTGGTTGCGCCGCCGCTATTTCGGGACGTAACCCGATACTCGCCGGATGATAATGAGGCTTCTGACGTACTCTCCGTGGACAGGCGACGGATCTCGTCTAGTTCGGTTGCTTCGCGCGGGCGACTGCTAATGCTGGTATTCGTTTCTATGCGGGAGAGCCTTTGTTCGTGTTCGTTTTGGGTTTCGTTGTGTTGCTCTTGTTGGGGTTGGAGTTCGTCCTCGTCGTCTACGAACGGGGTGTTATCTTCACTGCGTCTTGGGTGGGGGGAAATTGGGTCGTGGATGTCGTCATGGTCACCGACTAACGTTGCCATTGGAATTAATTATCGTGGATGTCGGGAGCTGTGCAGGCTGCTGGACGGTGTCGCACTGCATGGCACGCTCAAACAATGAACCGGAACCAAAACCGGGAGTCGTCTTTGTATGTCGCACTCCTTCCGCTGTCGAGTTCGTCGTTACAATGCAGTTCAGTTGATCACAATGTCCTCAATTGCAATACTCAATCCCCTAGCTGCCGTAAATCCGTATATGTGTATATGTGTATATGTGTATACGATAAAACGTTGTACAAAAACAAACTGACGTAAATGACTCAGGCCATCACCGTCAGTTTAACTCTCCCGAGAACCGCCCAATTCTGTCCTGTCGGAGCCAAATCCGGCCGAGAACCTTGTTTCCGTCTCTCTTCGTTCGGAAGTTGGAGGGGGATCCATATTTCCTTTCGCAAGCCAATCACCAGGTCTATGGGAATCGGGCTTATCATTTGCTCAACAAATCCAGTGTTGCATCAACCTCAAATTTATTCTATACAGACATATAGAAAATGAAGCTATTCAAACCGGCATGTCTAAAATGATATGCAGTACTCAGCCCTATGGATCCAAGTGATACAAGCTTACTTTCTTATTCCCTCGATATTTAACGAATTGGCCAATCAGAAGCCGATAAAGTGTGTGATCCGCTATGGCGACATCGCGAGCCAATTATTGTAGGCCGGAGGGTTTCTTTGCTTATTCCTCTTTACCTCCTTACCCTCAGAATGTGTACAAAATTAGGTGGGAGGATTGGAAAGTTTACTAGACGAAGGATAACTCCAGTGAATTGCTTGCTTGCTAGTCAATAGGTACAGCACACTTGGTTGGTATCAAACGTTCAAAACCCAGGCAGTCATTAATCATAAAGAAAGAAGTACAAGCAACACAAAAACGAAAAATCAAAACATCCCGATATCCCAAAAAAGATTCCATTATTATTCAAACAATCAATCAAGTCCGCTCAATTCCTCCTCGCATAGTCCTGTCAAGTCGCTGGCTTGCTCCATTGGGAAGTTGTTGATATCGTTGTTTTTGTGGCGAGGTTGTGGTTGAAGAAGCAAGGCCAGCGTCTCGGTCAGTTGCGGAAGGGATGTTAGGTGCCATGCAAATATATTCTCCATCCCCACCCTGGGCTCCTACTGTTACCCAAACGTATTTCCCTACTCCGCTGGATGGACGTTCCTGTGGACCATCCCAGAAGATTTCGGTGGGTTGCGCACTGGCGCCGCTTGGGTTGGTAGATGTGGGTGGTCGGCCTCCAAGACGGCCGTAATACACCCAAGTGCTGAGTACTTCCTTGACGAATTTCATTTTGCGCATGAAACCATTGGCCTGGAGGACATCGCGTAATCGGTCATCTCCGCTATTCTCGACTGAGTCACTGGCCACGGCCAGGAATGTTGCCGCTTCGTCTGAAGCAACGGCGCGAGTATCAAATCCGGAAGGGTGCATTTTGCCTTTGGCAGACAAATACCTTGCTGCAGATGGCGATAGATGGTAAAAGTCGATCCATGGAGACGAGCCTCTGCTCTTGCCATGTGAAATCACAAGCTTGGTATGGTCGGGGAAGTTGAACTGTGCAAGTTAGTACGCTACACAAAAAAAAACTTTAATGATGTGCATACCTGAAAAGCGCCATCGCCGAAACCCCAGACGCCAACATTGCCCAACCGCTGGTAGAATTTGATGCAGACGTCGGATTCTCTTGACAGGCTTGGCTCATCGTTCAGATCATCTGCTCCGTGTCTACCCAACGATCCAATCATATATTTGCCGAATTGATCAACCAGCTTCACTCTCTTCACCTTTTCTGCCTCGGATTTGGCTTGCTCAGGTCCAACGTCACTTCTGACCCTGATTCCCATGGCCCCATTTCCACTACTAGAGGCCTTGACTTCGAAATTCTCAGGTCGCACCAAAACACGCTTCATGCCACGAACTTCCGCAGACGCCTGCTCGATATTCTCGTAGAATTCTATAGGCTTCCCGTTCCGTGGCACGAGTTGGTCTACCTCCGAGTAGACATACTGGTCCCGGTTCTCTAAACATCGAGATTTCCGTCGAATATGCTTCTCTCCGTCTCGCAAGATGACACCGCTGGCCGCTTGGCCATGCTCTCCTTTGAACACACAGCCAACAGTACCATCGTCTAATATATATCCAATACCATAGCGATTTGTATAATCCACCCATTTGATGACATATGAATGAGGACGGCGCTTAGGCTGGGAACGGTATGTCCGCGATGCCGATGGTGTCATATTGCGAAGCATAAGCTTGATATCCACGACGACATCCTCTGGAGAAGATCGGGGTATCAGATCAAATTTTTCATTCGGGTGTATAAGAGGACTGACCCCTAGCGTTGACCGGGGTTTGTTGGAAGATGTACTCGACTTGCTCGAGTTTCGTGCATGGCTTTGCGCAGTTTCTGCGGGTGGTGGTCTTGAGGCCTTAAATCTGGGCTGTTGTTCTATTGGAGTTTCTGAGCGGTTCTCGGGTTGTATCGAGCCTGGCGCTCGCATGGTTCTTGACCGAGGTAGTTCTGCAATCATATTATCATTCAATGGCGTAGCTGACCGCACCTCTTCCTGGCTGAAAGGAGGCAGAGGAGCTCTATCAATAGCGGCCTCATACTGTCGACGTGATTGGGACCGCGTTTTACCCATTCCAAGATTGTCAGGTACACTGTCAGATTTAGGCATTGGAGGAGCAACGAGCCTGTCAAGGTCTCGGATAGACGCCGAGTACGAGGCAGCGACCCCGCGGGGAATCCTGACAGGCCTTTGGGCTAGGCCTTTAGGAGGAGAATCTGGGGGTAAATCACGAGATCCAGATGGGTTCCGCCTAGTATGCATCATGGCGGTGTTTGTTGGCGGCGCTCGCATTGTGGAAGCACTTCGACTTGATGTGCGAAGAGGCAATGCTTGTTGACGAAGCGTGGCTGCGTGGCTCTTTGGCTTTGCTTCCAATCGTCGTGACTGCGCCGCAGCAAGAGCAGCTTGCGTTCTCGCTACAGAGGCTGCATTCATCTTCTCCGGCAAGTCAGATGGAGTCAATCGGTCACTGCTATCATCGGAACTATTGGAGTCGCTAAAATCGGTTGCTGATGGAACGGCATTATCGGGAACACTCCAATCACCGTCAGACCAGGCGGGATATTTATACACAAAGTCGGTCGGTAGAGGAATAACAGGCGAAAATCCCTTGTCCGATTCGGCAGTTGTTTCTGAAAAGACAGTCTTGGAAGAACCTTTGCCGGCACATTTGCGAGGATTTCCATCTCGTTTGAACCCAACTCCGCATTCGGTGTAAAATGCTTCTCTGCAAAATGCATATCTTTCTCGAGGATCCTTAATCTGTGCGGCTTTGCTTCGGTATTTGCTCTCGTATTCCAAGCTGTAGCCTTGTATCATACGATCTCCTTGGGGCTCTTCCATCTTCAGCCAGACCGGTTTCATTTGTTTACATGCAGGATCAAGAGAACGAGGAATGCAGCCGGGATACATGTTGAAAAATTCATGGTCGACAATCTCATCCGCTGAGGGCCGTTTTTCTTCATCCAGATTCAAGCAAGAGCTCACGAGGGTTTTTGCCTCTATCGGAATATCGTTTGCACATTCATTATCCTTAGGCCAGACGTAGTTTAAATTCTTGACCTTTTTGTAGATTTCTTCTTGTGTTTTTGATTGAAAAGGGGGGAAGCCTGCAAGCATGGCGAAACTAATTCATATTAGCATTCCCTTCACGAATCAATCCGTCCGCGGACATCTTACCAGATCACACCCAACGACCATATGTCCACTTTCTGGTTATGCCCTCCCTTGCTTCTATCGATAACCTCCGGCGCAATGTAATTGGGAGTTCCGCATAGTGTTTGTCGCCTCTTCGCCTCTTTTTCCGACAAGATCATCGCTGCCAATCCGAAATCGCCAACTTTGATGTCCATATTTCGATCCAGAAACAAGTTCCCCATCTTTAGATCACGATGCGCAACGTTTCGCTTATGTAGGTATTTTACTGCGCCGCAAAGCTGTATCATAAATCGTCGTACTTCAGGCAAGGTCAGGGACTTTCGTTTTCGAACCATATCCATTACAGAGCCGTTGGGACATAAATCAAGCACCACATATGTACAGTCGAAAAATGCGAACGCGCGATGGAAGCGGACGATATTCGGATGTCGCAATTTGGAGTGAATCTCCAGTTCGGTTCGAAACTAACGACAATCTGTCAGCCACGTTTGATTTCTGTTAGACAAGAAACTGTTGCACACCTTCTCGGCCATCTTTTTTTGCGTCATTTCAGATCGAACAACTTTCAGCGCAAACACCCGGCCATTGCGCACAAGCTTTCCTTCATAACAAACTGCAAAGCCTCCCTTCCCGAGAAACAATCCCGTAGAGTATTCCTCGCCATCTTCCCCAGGCTCCCTCACGATCGAAGGTGGTGGCGGCGCATGAATCTTAGAGGGTGCAGCCTTTGCGGCCGCAGGAGCCGGAGGGGCGTGACGATCCACCTTTCGATGCGCTGCAGACGGTTTGCTCTGCAGTGGAAGATTCGTTGATCGAGGGGAGAGCGCTTCCATGTCAGATCTAACACGAGGATACAGCGAGTGCGTCTATTGGAAGGCGACTGTCCATAGATTGACGGATCATGGAATGGGTATCTCGAGGCGCTTCCTGGTTGAGAAAAAATTGCGACGTGAAGATGAGCTCGAAATTTGACGCGGTTGTTTGACAGTGTTGTGGTATCGTGTTTGCGATTGCCTCCTGACTATGTTCGATATTGACAGTACGACGTTTCAGATGGTATGTTGCGATCCGCGGGTAAGTAACGGACGGACCCCAGGTAGGATCAGCGGCTCAGGGGAAATTTAAGACAATGTGGTTCCATCAAAATTAAAAACAGTGAACTGCCAATTTATTAGAGATCGTAGGGGAACAAGCAATGCACTTTATCGCCGAGACCAAGCTGTTTATCGAGGTTTCATAGAAAGATGGAGTCCCTTGAAAGCGGAAGGCACATAGCAAAGCTCTCGCACTAACCCAGTGTGGTGGCTGGCTCATCTGTTTTAGGAAATCCGTAAACACCAAGCGTTGCCGGAAGATCGTTTGTCCGCCAGCCCATCTCCTAAGGCAACAACAACAGCCCGCAGTCTTGGCAACGTCTTATTATCCCGCTGTGCTCCGTCATAGTGTAAGTACTCTTTAATTTCGCCGAAGTCTTTTGGCCGCGACACTTTACATACGGCCATGTCGCTCACTCTGAAGCTCTCGTCTCTTGTTATTCGTACTCTCTCGAAGCCAATTGCGGTACGTCTATCCGCTACTATTCCATAAATTCATTCACTAATCAATTCGCAGAATAGTATCAAAGCCCAAGCCCGCGAACATGAAAGATTCCGGCGACTATGTGTCTCCATGGCACAAACGATCCATCGCATCGATATGCGCCTAAAACTTGGTCTTCTTCGGGACACAGCCGCGATTGAGGATCGAGCCGCGAAAGAAGCAGCTGAGGCAGCAGCACGGAGACACAGATCAAAAGTTCCAACAGCAAAAACGGAGGCCGAAATCCAAGCAGAGAAAGAAGCAACGGAGGAGGCTAAGAAGAAAGCAATTGAAGAAGTGAAAGCGAAACCTCTGCCCCGCATACGACCGTTATCCGAATCCAAAGCTATCGATTCTGGTGCGAACTTCATTAGCGAAACATTTCTTTTTTTGGTAGCTGGTGGGTTGATTGTTTTCGAGTCGTGGCGCTCGAGACGCAAGGAAACCACTCGTCGATCTGATGTCCAGGATCGCTTAGTTGAGTTGGAAGAGTCAGAGAAAGCCGCTCGAAGGGCGCTGGGTATCCTGGAGAAAGAGCTTCTAGAACTCAAGGCTCAACAGGGAAAAGTTCCCGCGAAACACATGAAACGCATTCTCCCTCCGGAGGTATGGGAGGAGGACGTCCAGGAAGTTGCACCTAAGCAAGAAGATCAAGGCTGGCTGTCCCAAATACGGTCATACTTCCCTTCTTCCACCAGCACGACCCCAGCTTCATCAGCTAAAGTTGCACCGACACCACTTGCAACCCAAAAAGAAGAGCCAGCTTCGCCTTCAACTACCACAGATTCAACTCATTCTATAATACCTACTCTTATAAAACCCGGTCATTCGAGTCCTTCGCCAAAGGAGTCCTGATTGCTTCCTGTCTGATTATATTTTGCGGAAACATCTACTTTGTGATACCCTTGCATTCTGATTTATCGATCTCATCTGCATAGATATATTTATAGACTTTTAATCTGGGTGTTGTTCATACCTTGTGGGCGCTGTATATATTAGGACTTCGGGCGTTCTTCCCGTTTGATTCATAGGCAACCTCTCCTCTCGCTCCTTCCTTTCCTTCCTATCTCTTTCATTTCCTCTCACCCATGTACAAATACTTCACAATGCCAAAGTTGCCACTCAACCCTGAAGGAGAATAATATCAATGAGCAGCACTGTCCAAATCTTCACATCTGTCTCCTTTCACTGCCGCCCCATCTGGGACGTGCTCTATCCTATCATGGAGGCAAGCGACGTCAAATTCACATCCGGAGGTATGCCTCCCTGATGTCAGTCAATTGAGACTACTTTAGCCTGATGATAATTCCAAGGTTCGCGTGATGACACCTATGATATCGCAATCTATGAGTCCGTTTTAGACCGTCTGCGAGATGCCGTGCTACACACATTAGTTCTTACTCCCTCGGCCATTGAAGAAGCAGACAAAGAAGCCACTCTATCTCGTATCGAGCAGTTCGTCTTAGTGCACAATGATGCTTCAAGATACCGCTATGTGGCCATTGTTTTCTTGAACTCAGACACAGCATTCCAGAAAGCAAGCCGATGCTGCACCATCGATGCATTTGTGGCTTTTCAAGCTCTGTAAGTGTTTGTATCCCTACTATTCTCATGTCGAATGTATCATTAATGACGTGATCAGTCTCTTCGACTCCTCTTCGATTATAGATATACCTATCCTTATGCTAGCCGAACCCGAGGAGCTGGTACCATCCCTCAAACGGCACTACTATGCCATTCAGCGAATTATCAACCAGCCTGCCGGCATCAATCCCATATCATTGTCGTCACAAGCACCATCGGACTCTCCACTGCATCTTCTTGAGCAGATTGTAGTCCAGGGCTCCGATCCACTCTCCTGTCAACAGAATGTCAACATCCTGAGTGACTTCTTCCCATCTTTACGTGCTCTGAGTGCGGCATCAAGGACAGCAGAGATGCGCCGGCTCATTTCAGAGTACCTTGGTGAGCAATTTGCGAAATACGTAGAGTCATTCTGGAATGAGGAGAGACTTTACGGCTAATGTGATATTTGGAGTTGAGCTAGAGAACCCGTAGGCAATGTCGCAGGCAACACATGGATCTGAAGAATGATATATATTTTGTACCCGAGCACGTGCACACGGTGCACCACCTACATGTATGCATATCAACAATACCAGTTCTACCAATTTTTACACACCACATTTTGCCTCTCATTAGAAGTTTATATGCTTTTCTATTAATAGAAAAAAAAAAAAAAAATCAGAGGGAAAAGTATTCTAGAACAGTGCCCAATCAGGCATCTCGAAAAGTGAGAAAATAAAAGCCAAAGGTATGACGTCGCAGGTCTTGGCATCAGGTACCTGGACATCAAGGCTACAAGTTTGTATGGATTGTAAGACCGACGAAACTAGAGCGATGTGAAAAGCGTATTACAAATACGAATACATCTCAAGAGCGACACAATAATTGCCTCCTTCCAGACTTTTCAATGTCTTGTCAAAGAAGAAACAAGACAACGGATGACGCGGTTGCCTGTCGGTAACCCGGCAAGTGTGGCGCTAACCAAGTGTGGCGCAGCGTGCGTATCTCGTGCCAAGACTGGCCAGAAGCGTCCCCCGCTATCTGCTGTGATTGGCTGCTGCTTTCCCACTGAGGACCCAGGCTCCACTTGCTGCGGCGGGAGATAGAGCAGCAACAGACAGGCCAGACAAGGCAGCCCCAATACACTTACTACTCTCATCTTTTGTATGTCCTCGACGGCCTTGTTCGAATTTCAACTATCTTCATTTTCTCTGTCTTTTTCTTTCCCCTCGAGCTACGGTGTGCTCATTGTCGCCCGTTCCCGCATTAACCTACTCCATTGATTAGAGCGGGTCACATCATTCTAGCCGCCTAGGGGACAACAATTAACCTTTACCTGTCGCTCCGTCCAGCCTTTCCCCCTCACTCCCAGATTACCTACAGGTGCGAAAACTGATACGTCAGACTTGGTTCGGTTTGGCACAACTCACGATTTCTGAAAATGGTATGTCATTGTACGGTCAGATTATTCCACACCAGTACTGACTACTGTTCTCGATAGGGTCAATCGCGACGTCCTGCCGGTGGTGAGAAGCGCAGTCGCGGCTTTGGCCGGTCCAAAGGAGATGCCGACGTGGGCGACGGTCGAAAAGCCAGAGGAAAACCACAGGTCAAGAAGGCTGCCTTCGAGAGCACGAAGAAGAAGGAGATTGGTGTCTCAGATCTTACTCTGTTGAGCAAAGTGTCTAATGAGGCGATCAACGACAATCTCAAATTACGATTTGAGAACAGAGAGATTTATGTTCGTTCTTAAACCATGCGCTTTGCAAACCTCATTCCTTGCTAATGATTTGTGAAATGTACAGACATATATTGGCCATGTCTTGGTCTCCGTCAACCCGTTCCGAGATTGTACGTTCAATTGCGCCAGCATTGCCGGACTCGACTAACTCCATTGCAGTGGGTATATATACCGACCAAGTGCTCGATTCATATCGTGGCAAGAACCGACTCGAAGTCCCTCCGCACGTCTTCGCCGTCGCCGAATCTGCATACTATAACATGAAGGCTTACAAGGATAATCAATGTGTCATTATCTCAGGAGAGTCCGGAGCCGGAAAGACGGAAGCCGCCAAACGACTGATGCAGTATATCGCAAGTGTGTCAGGTGGTTCTGATTCATCTATTCAGCAGACCAAAGAGATGGTTCTAGCGACAAACCCTCTTTTGGAATCATTTGGTAATGCAAAGACATTGCGAAACAATAACTCTTCGCGTTTCGGTAAATATTTGGAGTTGGAGTTTAATGCTCAGGGTGAGCCGATTGGAGCCACTATCACAAATTATCTGTTGGAAAAGACGAGGGTGGTCGGACAGATTACGAATGAAAGAAACTTTCACATTTTCTATCAGCTTACAAAGGCTGCGCCCCAGGAGTATAGAGGTGAGCTATCGCCATTACCATCTTCTGTCATGGCCTCGAAACTAACTGCGATCATGTCATAGATAACTTCGGAATCCAACAGCCCCAGTCGTATCTTTACACGAGTCGCTCGAAATGTTTCGATGTGCAGGGCATTGATGATGCTTCCGACTTCGCAGAGGTCATTGAGGCCATGCGAATCATTGGGTTAACACAGGGTGAAAAAGATAACATTTTCCGCATGCTTGCTGCCATCCTTTGGTTGGGTAACGTGCAATTCACAGAAGATGATGAATCCCACGCGACAATCACCGATCAATCCACTGTCGATTTCGTGGCATATCTTCTTGAAGTCGACTCAGCACAGGTCAACAAGGCCCTTACAATTCGTGTCGTTGAGACTGCTCGCGGTGGTCGACGAGGCTCTATATATGAGGTCCCGTTGAACAGAGTGCAAGCTAATGCTGTGCGAGATGCCTTGGCGATGGCCATTTATTTCAATCTCTTTGACTGGATCGTCGACCGGTTGAATCAATCATTAAAGGMAAAACAAGCCGTGACAAACTCAATCGGAATTCTTGATATTTACGGGTTCGAGATCTTTGAAAAGAACTCTTTTGAACAATTGTGCATCAACTACGTGAACGAAAAACTACAACAAATCTTCATTCAATTGACTCTGAAAGCCGAGCAGGAAGAGTACGCGCGGGAACAGATTCAGTGGACGCCAATCAAGTACTTCGATAACAAGGTCGTCTGTTCTTTGATCGAGGATAAGCGACCCCCTGGTGTCTTTGCGGCGCTCAATGACGCTTGCGCAACCGCACACGCCGATTCGTCCGCAGCTGACCAGACATTTGTTGGCCGTCTGAATTTCCTGGGTCAGAATCCCAACTTCGAAAATCGACAAGGACAGTTTATCATCAAGCACTATGCTGGTGATGTCAGCTATTCGGTGGAAGGGATGACCGATAAGAATAAGGATCAGCTGCTCAAGGATCTACTCAATCTGGTTGGATCTTCAAGTAACGATTTTGTGCATGTTTTGTTCCCGAACCAAGTGAACCAGGACGACAAGCGACGTCCACCTACTGCCGGTGATAAGATCAAAGCTTCCGCAAACGACCTGGTAACTACGCTGATGAAATGCCAACCTTCTTATATTCGAACCATTAAGCCTAATGAGAACAAATCGCCAAATGAGTATAATGGTGCGAACGTGCTTCACCAGATCAAGTATCTCGGTCTACAAGAGAACGTTCGTATTCGACGAGCCGGTTTTGCTTATCGTCAGACGTTTGATAAGTTTGTTGAGCGGTTCTATTTATTGTCAAAGCACACGTCGTACGCTGGTGATTACACATGGACGGGAGACGCGGAGTCTGGTGCCAAACAAATCCTGAAGGACACCGGTATTCCGGCTGAGGAATATCAGATGGGTGTGACGAAGGCTTTCATCAAAACTCCGGAAACTTTGTTTGCGCTCGAACATATGAGAGACCGCTACTGGCACAACATGGCCATTCGCATCCAACGGGCATGGCGCAACTACTTGCGGTACCGCATTGAATGTGCGATCCGAATCCAACGGTTCTGGCGTAGGGTGACTGGCGGCTTGGAATTCATCAAAGTGCGGGATCAAGGTCACAAGCTGTTGCAGGGTAGGAAAGAACGTCGCCGTATGAGTTTGCTTGGATCTCGACGCTTCATGGGTGATTATATTGGCGTTGGAAAAAGCGGTGGTCCTGGCGAGATTATCCGCAGTAGCGCCGGCGTTAGTGGTAAGAAGCTGCATCCACATTGCTCATATCCTGTGCTAAAAACTAGTATAGCATCTGACAATATTCTATTTTCTTCGCGTTGCGAGCTTCTGGTGGCCAAATTTGGTCGTTCCAGTAAGCCTATGCCTCGTGTCCTTGTTTTGGTGAGTGTTCCTTTTGGATTTAACAATATGACTCTAACTTTTTAGACTTCTCGCAATATCTATATCATCGTTCAAGCGATTGTCAACAACCAACTTTCCATTTCATCAGAGCGCACAATTTCCCTCGGAGCTATCAAGTATATTAGCACAACGAATCTGAAGGACGACTGGTTCTCGATAGTGGTTGGCTCCCAAGAACCCGATCCGCTTCTAAACTGTGTTTTCAAGACTGAATTCTTCACTCACCTGAATACTGCTATGAGGGGACAGTTGACCTTGAAGATCGGGGAATCGTAAGTCTACTCTCCCTTTTACAAACCACACGTGCTAAAAAATATTAGAATTGAATATAACAAGAAGCCTGGAAAACTGGCCACAGTCAAAGCTGTCAAGGACCCAGCTGTTCCTCGCGATGATGTGTACAAAAGTGGCAGCATTCATACAGGACCTGGCGAACCTCCTAGCTCAGTCTCTAAACCCACTCCACGACCCAAGCCAGTTGCTGCACGGCCAGTTACCAAGGGTAAACTCTTGCGCCCTGGTGGTCCCAATGGTGGTCCTTCTAAGCTTAGTGGTAACCGACCGAACGGCACTACTCCACGACCTGTACCGACACCCCAAGCTCTTCCTGCGGCTACTCCCCAGCCAGCAGCCGCTCAACGTATCGTACCTCAGCCAATCGCAGCCGTTGCGGCCTCGCATAATCGTACAACATCTCAGGCGTCTGTCCGTGCTCCTCCACCACCACCTCCGGCACCTCCCGCGGCGGCCCCAGCAGCTCCCAAGAAACCTTCCGCCAAGGTGTTGTACGATTTCTCCAGTGACCGGCCTAACGAGCTTACAATCCATGCGGGAGAGATCATCCAGATTGTCTCCAAGGAAGGAAATGGTACGTCAAAATCTTTTTCTACTATATTACTGAGAAACGCTTACACTCAACAGGATGGTGGTTATGCATGAACACAACAACATCCGCCCAAGGATGGACACCAGAAGCCTACCTCGAAGAAATTGCAATCGTAGCAGCTAAACCCACCCCGCCACCTCCACCTCCTGTGGCGCCTAAAGCTGCTCCCAATGGTAACGCGGCCGCAGCAGCAAAGGCCAAACCTGCACCTCCCGCACCTCCAGCAAAGAGACCCACTGCCGCTGGACGCAAGCCCCTGGCACCACCCACCCGTGACAGTGCTGTTAGCATCAACTCACAGGATTCCTCTGGAGGAGCTAGTGGTCGCGCGACGCCCAACAGTAGCTCAAATGCTAGTTTGGCAGGAGGTCTAGCTGAGATTCTGCGACAGCGACAAAGTGCTATGCGTCCTTCGAATGAGGAAGAGGATGATTGGTGAACGAGTTGAGTTAGTTATTTACCTGTTATCTCAAATCTTGATCGACTTTAGTACAAACTTCTTCTCTACTATTATGGTTTTGGACAACGTGCGAGCGGTGTTCTTCGCATAGTCAGCTCCAAAAGCAAAGTTTTTGCCTTATTTATGTTGTTTCTGCTTTCTCTTCTCAATGATTTTTTAGAGCATATGCATGAATGGTTTGAGTGATTCGGTCCATCTTCGGTGGCATGCATAAATTGATTTCTCTGTTTGCGTCTTGAGAATGTGTATGTATCTCTCCGTCTGAGTGAGTGAAATACAAAAGAATCACATGTTCCTTTTGGTAGCCTAAGCATGTATGGCTTATACATATTTAATAACAACATCATACCCTCCTAAATTGCCCTCAGCCATAAGAGCCCCCGTCAAAGCCGACTGCAACTGCAGCTGCAGCATCAACCCTTGAGGGCTGACACCATCATCTGACCACTGGAGTTGATCCGTCAATCTTAACCTGATATATGCGCCTAACCGTGTACCTTTTGCTCTTCAATGTGTCTCTTCACTGTAAATTTTGTAACAATCGTCTTCAGTTTACTACGTATAAGAAATAGGGTTGGAATAGGACATATAATGAGACAAACTAGACAAACGTCAACGCGCGTCTCGCATTGGGTTTCATTTTACAGGGTCGTATTAAAGGTGGGTGCTGTAAGCATCGTGATTGGATATGATACTGAGGTCCGTACGATCATTACGATCAGATGCCCCGCTGCATCCCACTCCTCATAGCAAGCCACCAATGGTAGCTCATAAACTTGGACATTACGTAGTGTATGTAAACAGATTACACGCTCGCTGGCTGGCCCTGGCCTGACCCCTCCATCTCGATCCCCTCTTTTGAGCTGTTTATTTACCATCCTCTTCATCCATCATTTCCTGCATATCTACAAATCAATTCATCTATCTCATAACAAACCTACCACCACCTAACAATGTCGTACGGAGACAACTACGGCCAAGGCCGCGAACAATATGGCGACAACTACGGTCAGGGCAACTACGGCCAGGGTCAGGGTCAGGGTCAGGGTCAGGGCCAGCGCCGCGAGGATTACGGAGACCAGCAATACCGAGGCAACTACGGCGCCAATGCCCCGGACTTCTCAGACGTTGTAAACCACGCCGAGAACCACGGCGGCAGCAGCTCGTCCTACTTCAGCCAAGCAGCCAACTATCTCCAAGAACAGCATGGCAACATCTCCAACCAGGACATTGATCAGCAACACATGGTGGACTCGCACCAGAAACTCTACGGTGGTGGAGGTGGCAGTAGCGGTCCTGCTAGCTCTAATGAGCTCGGTGCCGGTGCGGCCATGCAGGCATTGAAGGCTTTCACGAGTGGTGGTTCTAGTGGTGGTGGACAGAACCAGTTGATTGGATTGGCAATGGCAGAGGCTGAGAAGTTGTTCGATCAGCAGAGTGCGAATGGAAATGCTGTAAGTTGTTTCTCTTTGGCGCGGCTTTAGATGAGGTCCACTAATACATTTCATTCCAGAGCGGCGACAAGCAGTCTGCTATCAATTCGGCTGCTGAGATGGCCTTCAAGATGTACACCAAAGGACAGGGTGGTCTTGGCGGCACTGGTGGACCTTCTGGCTTGCTGGGCTTGGCTAGCAAGTTCTTTAATTAGTGTATTGTAGCTATAACCATCACAATGAAGAATATCTATGATTGACTCATGGACGGAGACAAAAACGCGTACCTGGAAGATTCGCCACGAAAGATATGGACTCAGCCGGAGTAAACCAGCATCTGCCACTGTGAATTACGATAACCTATAAAGCTTTAGCGAAAACAATACCAAGCCCTTGTCCACACACTCAACAATAGGCACAAATTAGGAAAAAAAACATCATGTGGTGAGTACCTTGTTGACTAATCTCGGAACGGAACAACCGAAAGGGCGGACGGCAAACCGTGAAGATTGCGTCAACCCATACAATAGAGCGAGGGGCCGACGAAGAATTCTCGGCGATTAAAGAAAGAGAGACATCAATAGTTCCCCTTGCTATTGATTTATCTCTCCCTCATTCCCGCCTTCGTTCATCCATGCTGGCGTCATTCTCTCTTCATTCTTGCTTGCGTGCAACTTGACTCCTCCCGATAATTAGTTGATTTAAACCTCTCGGAAATCCAAGTCCGATGCGCGACCACCCGGCCAGGCTTTTGCTTCAATCGTCGTGAAATCGCGCCCTTACGGCGCCACAACGCTTTCTCTTAGCAATGGCTCTCTCAAAGTCGAACAGGATTATTATCCTGTTGGTCATCGACACGGCCTTTTTCCTTCTTGAATTAATCGTCGGTATGTTGCTTTTGCTGTGAGCTCTTGTGTTGAAATGGACAGCTTAGTTAATGGGTTCGTTATCCGACAGGTTATGCCGTACACTCGCTCGCCCTTGTTGCCGATTCATTTCATATGGTACGCTTTTCATCGAAACAGCTTGTTTTCTTAGACGATGATGGTCCTGCGGTCACGCCAACACTGGACTATCAGTCAACGGAGAATGTTTGCTAACTCGCCACTGATAGCTCAACGATGTCCTCTCCTTGATCGTCGGACTATGGGCTGTCAAGGTCGCTAACCAAGAGTCCAACTCCAAGACATATACCTACGGTGTAAGTCAATCGACTGTAATGATTCTATGGTTAATAAGTCTAACACAACTATAGTGGCAACGTGCGGAAACCCTGGGAGCCCTCGTCAACGGTGTCTTCCTAGTTGCGCTATGTATGTCCATTTTCCTTGAAGCGATCCAACGACTATTCGAACCGCAAGAAGTGAAGAACCCCAAGCTGGTTATGATTGTCGGCTGCTTTGGTCTGCTTTCCAACATCCTCGGACTGGCTCTTTTCCACGATCACTCGCATGGCCATGGGCCGGAAGCAGAGGGACATGACCACGTACACGGCGACGAGGGAGATTTGCATGCAGCGGAGGAAGGTCATCTCCACGAACATACTACACAGAAGATGGCCGACGAAAGAGAAACCGTTGCTAGCATTATGCCTCAGAACGTGGTGGGCGTTCTGCGTACTGATACCGAAGATGTTGGGGAGCGTCCTCAAATTATTGGCAATGAGAATTATTCGGCTTCGCCATCACAGTCATCTGCAGCAAAGGGCGAACACGCTCGACGCACGTCTCGCGGGTCGAGAGGCTTTGGTAATCTAGAAGGCATCTACGTGCATCCAGGCGACCGATATCAAAACATTATCAATGCCAGCCACCTTGATGACAGTGCATCTGTAACGGAATCGGAAGATAGCGGTGACATTGAGTCTGCTGTGACTGAGCGTACTCGACTTCTTGGAGCTCAAGCCCGTACACCACGCTACGTCGACGGAGACAGTGTTGCAGTTTCGAAGGCAGCTAAGGACGACGCTCATCGAAACCATAACCACGCCAAGCCAAAGACAGGAAAGAAAGCACACGGAGGACATTCGCACGATCTCAACATGCGCGGAGTGTTCTTGCACGTCATGGGTGACGCGTTAGGCAACATTGGAGTCATTGCCTCTGCATTAATCATCTGGCTGAGCCCATACTCTTGGAAATACTATGTGGACCCGGGTATTTCTCTCGTCATCACCATTATCATTCTCTGTTCTGCCATTCCACTCTGCAAAGCTGCCTCCAGGATTCTTCTGCAGGCTGTCCCCGCCGGAATGAGCATTGACCATATCCAGGAGGACATCGACAGCATTCGGGGTGTCTTGAGCTCGCACCATCTGCACGTCTGGCAATTGAGTGACACCAAGCTTGTTGCGTCCATACATATCCAAGTTGGGAGCGAAATCAAAGATGAAGGATCTGACAGCTACATGGAGATTGCAAAGGAGATTCGTCGCTGTCTACATGCTTATGGAATCCATTCGTCCACTATCCAGCCTGAATTTGCTCCAGACACGGATACTGAGAGTCAAACTGGCGGTTCTCCATCCCATGCTACGGACAATACACGCATTCCAAGTAGTGCTAGCAGTCTCCGGGAAGATAACGCTTGCCTTTTGGACTGTGACGACGAGTGTCCTCGTGGACAATGCTGCCCGAAGAAGTGAATACAGCCTTGAAAAATGGTCCTTCACGTCGACTTATATCACCCCAACACTCATTCATATCATACTCATCCATCCATACCATACACACTATTTGTACTAATCACTCGAGACGAGATTTATCAATCCTCCCGATCACGCTTCTACCATGCAGTCTTCCTATTTCCCTCTGCAAAAGCACAGTCGTTTCTATCTCCTTAAGTTATTTCATAACGGCTGGCTTAGTGTATCCCGTTCATTGTTTTGCTTGGATTTGGGCGTCGGTTCTTCAAGGCTTAAAGTTCGTTCATCATGGCGTTTCTGGTGGTAGATAGGACCGGGTTCGTGTCCATGTATTCTTTGTGTTATGCATACCAAATCATTTCATTTATAAACTCTGTCAACGTATGATAATAGGCAAATCGTTCGATTTTCACCACGCCAGGTTTATGGCTAGGGTATCTACGTCGCTGTTGGTACATTCAGAACAAAAATGAATCCATCACACGGTTGAAGCTAATTACACCAAACTACAGAAAATAATAATATCCGCTGACGGCAGCAGCACTATGAAACAACAATCTTCTTCTCTGTTGTAAACTGACTCAACGTCTCATCCGTCAAATTCAACGTATCCTGCACAATCTGCTTGGACGTCAACCCAACCCACTGCGCGAGAGACATGTCTACACCAACTCATCAGCATCATGAAGGATTTCAAGGCCTCAGTCAACGGGGGGAGACATACCAGAATAATGATCCGCCTGCAGAACCTCCAAAACAATCAAAACCTCATCCCCTGTATTCTCAATGTAGTGACTATTCGACTTGGGGAAATATGCCACATCGCCCGCTAGATAATCAAACGTCGTAGCCTCACTTGGTGGCGTGAATAGCGTCGCGCGGCCTTGTCCCTGGATGAAGAATGTCCATTCATCGCTTGACGTATGCCAGTGAATCTCCCTCAAACCCCCAGGGTTGATGGTCACGAGTGCAGCAGAAAAGCTTGAAGCAATTGGGAAACTTAGTGGATCGAGGATTTTGACGCTTCCGCCCTCGAGTTGTCGGGCTGGTTGTTCGGAGAAGTGGTATGAGTAACTTTGGGTTTGTGGGACGGAGCCTGCTGACCCGGTGATGTTTTGGGCTTGGATGTCTGTGGGTGCTGGTGTGCCGGGGAAGATGAAGAGTTTGTCGGAGGGAATATTTTGGAAGGAGGAGACAGGGACGCCGAGGTCTTTAGATAAGACTTCTCTCTGTTTGTCGTTGGTTAGTCACTGTAGTTTCACATTTTGAGGGGAAAAGGATGTACTGGGTTGTGCGCAAAGATCTCTGTTGCTAGGAAGGTATTTGTCTCGGAGAATGAGCCACTGTCAAAGACGAGCATGAACTCGACGCCGTCCTCGAGTGCTTGAATGCTATGCGGGATTCCTCTGTAGCGGTTCAGCTCTTAGATATACCATAGGCTTTGACGGGGAGATGTCGAGATGATGTCTTACGCTGGGAAAAACCACACATCCCCTTTACCGACGTCGTCGATAAATGTCTGTCCATCTTCGTTTACGGCCTTTCGCAATTAGCGTCACTTTCTTCAGAAATGAGGACTCAGACATCAAGAAAAGGATAAATACCTGAATTCTACAAGATCCGTTTAGTACAAGAGCCCATTCGGCCGCAACGTGCCAATGCAACTCCCTGTATCCGGCTGCTTCGAGTCTCATGTTCACGCCAGCCATTTCGGTGGCTGCCGGAAGGACGTCAATGTTTTGTTGACGGGACCAGCCGGATTTGCCTTTTCCTAGACTGTTTTTTGGCAAAAAGAGGGTTAGGTGTACATAGTCAGAATTATATGATAGTGGTTCACGTACGTCACGCCGCTGAGAGCTGGTTGTCATTTAGCAGCGAGCTTTGACTCATGTCATGTTCAGATAGAGAAGAATTGAAAGCATACCTAATGGCCATTGGGCATTGATGGTAGCTCCAGAGTCAGTCCCAGGAGGTGCAAGCTTGTCAGAATACATTTTCTCCATCTCAACATTACCTAAACCAGTCCTTAGCCACCGTTTCCGTACAAATATCTCTTAGACTGTAGAATGTGAATGGTAAAGAACTTACGAGGCCCAGGGTCAGTACCTCCCGTACTCCCACGAATAGGCTGCGGATTCTCAACATCTTCAAAGTTCAGGTACACCCCCAAATTTGCGGCATCAGTCTGTCCCGCAGCGAGCTGATAGGAAATTGTCTCTGTGTTCTCGTTTGATATTGTGTTGGTGGGTGAATAGCCGATTAGGTTTTCACCTCCTCGGAGAGGATTTGAGGATGCTACTGCTGCTGGAGCGGCGATTGAGGGTTTGATTGTTAAAAGGAGAGATGTGAGGGTGGTGATGGTATTGTATAATATCATGTTGGGCAATGGTTGAGAGTTAACTTTACCCAGAAGAAAGAAAAGCTTATGGAAGGATTTGTAGGCCCAGGGATAGGTAAGTAGGTATCTCGATAGTCTCCAGCGGGGAGTTAAGAGGAGGGCCCAATGGCTCCTTTTATAGTCACTCCTCACCTGGGCACATCTGCAACTTACCTTTCAGATACGGAAAACGGCGGTTCTAATTTCATGGATCAAGTTAACGTCAGATACTTGCACTCATGAGAATCTACCCCCCAACAGAAAACAACTTCTTCTCCTCTCTCTCCGCACACCGACGTCAGAAAGGCTACAATTGCAAAAGTCTTACCCCTCACATTTCGCAGGATGGCCAATCGATAACCACCAATCTAGGATCGCAGCGGACTGAGAATGTTGAAGTGTCCATCTTGTTGCTATACTTGGATCTTGTATCACCAAAATCCCGACTTGTTATGTAGTTCCTCGAATTTCATCACATTCTGAGCCCTATATATAGAAAAAAGAATCCATTGATGGGCATATGCGCATCCGAGGAGGTTTACAATATTTGATCTCAATCGAGCACGTGAGTCTAGACGGGGCAGTTGATCTGCATTCTACATAGAATAGAGTGAATGTACTCGCCACTTACTACCTACCTAGGTAAGCAGGGGAGAAACTATGTGACAGTATCCACCGTAGTCAGCCCTAATGTAGGCCGGGGCAGAATATATCACTTTTCAAGATATCTGGTTTACCGAATGAAATGGATTTGTTCAAACAGATATAAATTAGAGCCAGAACTAGCCAAAAAGCTACTCTTCTCCGGCTCTCATTGATGAGTTACCTTCCATTCGTGGCCTGTCACATCTTGACTTTGAATAGGACCGGACAGGAGAAGACAATTGATTGGTGCCCCCATTCAATATCAGCTAATATTGGGTCTCACGGCCGTTGCCCCTCACCTAAGGAATGCAGCCATGCCGTCTTCTATCGATCTATACTCTCATACATTGCGCTTTCCGATTTAGCCGGATCGTACAAACGGTGCCATAATCTAGTAGCTTGTAGCAACCTTCCCCGCTTACCATAGCTCACCTATAGGTCGGTTCAATTTCAACTGTTTGTGACTGTGGCTGCACAATGCAAAATTTCCAATACGTAGATCACAGCTCGGAATTAAAGCTTGGAATTGAGTCGATGGCGAAATGATTAAATGCGGCGCCGAAGCTTATTTATAGATTGATCGACATCTTCGTGGACACACAGCGGCAATTAGGGCTATCGGAGTGGTTGCAATGGTGATTTAAACAACCGACCAATTACGGTACAAGATCACTGAAAAAAGCAAAAGGACTTATATCTAAAAAGCAGAATTTCTAATCAAGCAGATTTGAGAGAATTGATAACAGACAAATAACCGCCACGAGGCGACCCCCTTGTCGTCAAAGTCGGCAAGCGGAAGAACAAGATTTGCTAAGCGCATGCATAGACAAGGATTGTATGCAACATAGGTGTATTCGCGAGCGGAACTCATCATCTACCTCCGAAGTCCTCCAATGAAGTTCGTATATTAGCTGAATCTCATGATGTTGATGTTATTGAGTCTGTAAGCTATGTATTGATGGACCTGCTAGTTTAATGTTTTGCTACAACGGCTTTTATCCAAAGGCTAGAACAGGTATAAACTACAATTGACATCTCATCTGTAGAAGGAGAATACACTCCGATCTATTTAAAATGGAGTCCGGCCATTACAGAGCGGCCTTGGTCAATCTCATGATCGAAGCGGTACCTGCTACCTAGTTTGTTCAAGCCAAAAAGCTTAGTAAAGCTTAGCTGCTTTGGTCACGACAGTCCGTGTTATAATTAGCATTGCATATTAAGACCATACAAAGGCGCCAAATAGCGGAAAAGTGCTCGCTACGCCTCTTTCACAGAGTAACTAGAAAGTAGATGTGATGGGACTAACCATTTACATTACAGTTGCATCCAGTGCTCTATCTCCGCACCATCCGCGCACCATCCGTTCTCACACCTTCTTACACAATAATTGATTCAACTATATTTGGAGTAAGTGACCAGTGAATCGATCGCGGCCACCTGTTATTCAGGACCGTGACGGTGTGTCTGGAATGTATCTGATTCGCCAATATAAATTGCTCTCGGGGAGTCGGGGACGAAAAGTAAGCTAGGAGCTGATTTTTGCCTATTTGGGTAGATTGCGGTATATTGTAAGTGTTGCTATATCTTGCTGTTAGTCAGCTGATCGCTCACCGTTTCTCTTTGATTCAGAGGGTGAGTGACCTTTGAGTCATTATAAAATGGCCATAACTTTAGCAGTGTCGACAGAGAAATGCGTTGAAGTCATCCTCGTGATGGCCTTTGCCTTAACAGCCGGGATGAATAGCGGCGGACACAAACTTAAATTCCATCGCTTTGAAGATCTCCAAATTTCAAAATCTCACTCCCCCGCAAAACAGGAAACTATCTAACTACTGACGAGGATTGTAGTACTCCGCGTGTGGAGTTGTTTTTGAGATTTAGAGTTTTGTCTAGAGACGATCAAAACTTATTAAATTAATCTCCAACTCTTCTTATGTCTCTTGTATGAAGTTTAATGGATGGAAGTGTGGCATCCTTTCCATTGAATAAGACCGGAAGTATAATACTACCTATATAGACTGGAAAAATGGGGAGAGGTGCCTTTCGCGTGTCGACCTCATCGTAATGGATCTCGAACCGCCTGCTGTAGTGGCCAGCCTTGCAAGCAGCGTGGTTTGCGCGGATTAAAGCGGCCGCTGCAGCCCTGCAGTCAGTACCCAGACTATGTTGCTTTATTTGATAGCTGAAGCCACTCCTTTCACCACTAGGTAGTAATTTCCTGCCGTGCTACGTAGATTGAGGGGTTTAGAGTTTAGACTCCTACGTGGGATTTCTACCCCATGTTTAATTCTACTCTGATTGTTGATATTCCGGTACTCTGACTGGACAACTACCAATTTGAGTAGGCTAGTACCAGGAAGACTTAAGAGTCGGAAGTATGAGCGTGGTTTCTTTTTAGGCGAGGAACCTCCAATGTACAAAAGCCTTAGTGTGTGTATATCTCAGCCAGCGTCAATAAAATACGTTGGAGATGAAATACTGTAGCGACCGACCAGATAACCATCGGGAACCGAGTCTTCATCAAAATAGCATTCGATTAAAGAGCTTTCCAAGTCAAAACCCACAGGTCACCAGTCTCCTCGTCTCCCGCAATGTGAAAGCTCGACGTATTATCTCCAGTAGGAGGGTTTCCTCCAGTCACTCCAAGATCCCAGTATTCCCCGTATCCGAGGAAAGGCACCGATGAAAAGCTATAGACCTGCACGTATATTAGAAATTTGAGAGCTGTGAGGTAACTGTATGTATCTCACCGGAGTGGCGGTTGCAGTATCAGCATCAGGGTTGCCACACGCGTAAGACAAGTGGTCATTGATATTACCACCAGAGATGATGTTGCAGTAACCAGCACTTGTGCTGAGAATAGTCGAAACGACCGTACCGGATTGAGTTGTTGCGACACCAGTGAATGTGCCACAGTTTGCAGAGTCAGTGGTCCAAAGACCGGCGTTAGTGAGACAGCCAACGGCCTCACCAACAGTGCCACTGGCCCAAACGGCGGGAACTACATGTCCCTGGCCAGAGAAAACCTGAGCGGAGGTCAAAGCAGACAGGCCGATAAGGCTGACGAGCCCGATGATGTTTGAGTTGAATGACATTCTGACTGGTCGGTTGAGAAATATGTTAGATGGTGTTCTGTTCCCACTCGCAATTGAAATCACACAAACTCGGCACCTAGCGGACGTTTATATACCTTCAATCCAGAGACATGTGGTGTCTTAACTTTAGAACCGAGAAATAAGTTTCTGATTTTCCAGGCACGATTGGGAAATAATTGTACTCTTAATATATGTAACCTACCTGCCTAGGCAACGCCTTGATTAAACCTGCAAACGCGGAGAAGCCATGATGTGAGGACGGAGCATTCATACATTAGCAATCTGTGCTTCTCGTATTACCGTAAGCCTAATCTATTACGGTAGTTATATGCAAATCGCAAATTGTTGACAAGTTCGTGGATATTTCTTATTTTAGTTATTGCGGACTGTATCATTGTTTCTTTGATAACTACTGGGCTATAGGATAGAATTTTAGCCCCTACGCTATGTAACATTGCACATTGTTGATCAATTCAGTGTTCAGTGTAATCCCGGCAAGAATATCCGGTTAAATGGAGCCTCATTAGCTTCCTTTAACATAGACCGCAACCGTTCAAGGTTAGAACCAAAACTATTGTGCATACTCTAAAATCACTCTACATTCATAGTTGGCTGTATAAGCCCCCGGTGGCGGTTTAGTGCCTACTGGAATGAAACATAGCCATAGCGTCGCGGAGTTTCTACTACGTAGTACTTTCTGTGCTTATATATGACCATCGGTATTTGCTCAAGGTGCAAATTGCCGGCCAAGACCTCTATGAAGAATCATACAATGGAAGGACCCGTGGTCTCGTAAACATGATTATGCAAGTCAGATTTTTGAGCAATCTGTTAGCTTTTCAATTGAGTACTGAACAAAGTCTCCAATTGAGATAATTGAATCAAACCGTAGAATACATGACCTCTGGTCTTAGCAAGGCCAAGCAGAGTCTACAGATAGGAGTTGTTGATGAATGACGTTAATTGCGATGGAATTGGACGAATTCTCGTTGTCATCGTTTAGGCCCTTTTACTGTTCTACATACGATGGCGTTGCTCGTGAAGGAAGCGGATGGTCTTTATAAGGCTTTATCGAAAAGAGCAATCGGAGTGCCAAATGCCGACGCCGACGGAGAGATATTATGCCGATTTAGGAAAGACCGACTGTTCCACCCCATCCAGCCCTAACGTGATCCTGTTGTTGTTGTTGTTGTTGTTGTTGTTGTTGTTGTTGTTGTTCGGTTTAAATACTTCAAGCTTGCTCTTTCGAGGATCAATAATGTAACCACTTTTCATCACTTTCATAATCTCTAATTATCTCAGCATAGCAATCCCTATCGCTGTCTGCGGCCGAACACCTTATTTTTTAAATCAATCCCAGAGCTCTTACTACCAAAATACGAAAGTAGACATTTTCTCCCTCACAGATCTCATTGATCTAATATCTGATCATAAATGGTCGTATCTGAGCTCAGTTCCACCGAAGCGGCTCTATCTGAGCTGCCTGCACTTCTACGCAGCTTTGAAGTCATACTGTCATCCGGCTTTGGCTCCAACATTACCAATGAGGAATCTAAAATCCCAGTTGCCGTTGTTGTAGAAGGAGCATTTCCTGAGTCAGAATTCGAGCAGATGTCAGCAAGCACCCCAGTGGTGGAGGCCCTCCTCCTCCAGAGGTTGTAGCTGGGCGGGTCGTAAAGGACGAGGCTGCAAAGGCTCCAGGTAATTGGGAGCTTCCAAGGTGCATGTCTGGCGATAGAAGGATATGCATTGGAGAACGGTAGTGTACCGGTATGACGATGTCATGAAATGCGCGCTAAATTCAAACAGAGAAGTGCAGATCGCAGGACCCTTGACAATCGTCCATCCCATATTCGTTGGACTGAGGCATGGGCGTAACTACTATAGCAGATAGCTTGAGGCTTGAAGTTGCGCACATAATGTTACGTAGGTCACGTCGTGTACAATGCGATGGCTACCGGTATCCCGCATTGCATGGCACTACAACCATTGAGTCGAGAGAGCGAACTGTTCACTTGCCCTGTTCCCATCATCAATCTATCTTGTTAAGATTTGAGGCAATGCCAGATATACCTATAAGGAGTTCTGAAAATTTTGCAAGATGGTACGTATACGCAACGCTATTTTAGAGATAAGTAAACTAATGATTGCATGATCTAGTGTTCTCCCATTGTATCATGGACCCAGCGTCAAAATTCGAATCAAATCAAGTGACTATGAATACACAGTCTCGAAAGATCTTCTCTGCAGAGAGTCTACTTATTTCTCAGCAATGTTTGAGGGTGGATTTAAAGAAGGACAGCAACTCCAAACGATTCTGGAAGACATGGAAGGGGTTGTGTCGGTGCAGAGTCTGGAGGCTTTCTTACAATGGCTATACCTCCGCGACATTAATTTCGATTTGGATGAGCCAGAATATCAAATCTCAGCCACCATCGAGCTTGCTCGGTTTGCAGATATGTGCAGCGTAACAGGAATTGAAACTCATATCGCTCAGTATCTCAAGCGAATTTTGGTCACAAATCCCAATCCCTATACCGTTGCGTATGGGGAAAAAATAAACACCTATTGTGTCACAACTCACCATATCATTTTGGCGACTTTTTTGCCTCGAGGGCACGCGGTTCGTCAAATCCTAGCTGCAGCGGCGGTGGAACGGACTCTTCTCTGTGAAGACGACAAAGTCTTTCTGGAAACTCAAGAACACCCTAGCTTTCGAGCTGATCTTCTCGAAGAAGTTAGGAGGACTCTCAAGGGACTGAGTTTTGGCCTGAGTGTTGCTACTTATGAGGATCCTCTCGACGGCAAAGAAAAGAAGCTCTATAAGTTTCTTGGTTCACGTTTTCGTTATTAGAACTAAAGCTGTCTGCACAGGACTCTTCCACTCTGGATTTGGTTCCAGAGATGGTAAAGCAAAGATTGTAGCAAAGAAAAAAATTTGATCTGCTGTTACTTCCTTGCAGCGTAACAGTGTACGAAGTATACAGTAGTGAATTAATTTCTCGGGAGCATTGAGCTTCTCGAGACGAATGTGGGGAAATCCCATGTGAAACTGACCCATGGCGTGGTCTGAGGTCATTGAGCACATGCAACGCCTCACCGTTGGGCTACAGTACATAGTAGACGCCATTTCTGCGAGCATTCTCGAGCATTCTGAATTTTTTTCCTTTGGCCAAATCATAAAACTTACAGTGTAAATTCAAGCATGTCAACAGAAACTCCACAAACTAGCACGACCCTCATATCATCTACTTCTAGCCTGCTTCTCCTGCTAGATACCTTGGTGAACCTTCCAGTCGACCCTCCTTCTTTGTACTTTGACCTTGAGGGTACCAGACTTGGTCGACTTGGTTCCTTATCTCTATTGATTTTATATGTGGCACCTCAGTTGACAACATATATTATTGACGTCCACAGCATCGGTAGAGATATCTTTACCACCGAAAATAGCAACGGCAATTCACTCAGAGCTGTCCTTCAAAGTCCTACTATCCCCAAAGTTTTCTTTGACGTACGCAATGACTCAGACGCCTTATACAGCCATTACAACATTTCCGTCAATTCGATTATTGATATCCAACTTCTTGAACTGGCAACGCGAAATGGTTCGATGGACTTTGTGGCAGGACTAGCCAAGTGTATCCAAAGGGATAGTACCGCGTCGGCTGCCGTTAAACTATCATGGCGAAGAACAAAAGAGACTGTGACTCGGCTTTACGATCCCTATAAAGGGGGCAACTTTAATGTTTTCAACGAGCGTCCTCTGAAGCCGGAAATTATCCGGTATTGTAAACAAGATGTCGAGCTATTACCATCCTTATGGGAAGTCTATAGCTCTAAGCTTCGGCGTCCCGACATGGGCTGCTGGAGACAGATGGTGAAACTGGAAACGCAGGAACGCATTAAACTCTCACAAAGCAAAAATTATGACGGACAGGCGAAAAGCAAGGTTTGCGGGCCGTGGGACTCAATTAACATTGAGGAATCGATAGAGGATTGGAACCACGATGTAACAATTTGGGGTGTACGTGCGCACATGGTTTTGGATAAAAACGACCACTGGGTGTATTCTTCTCAAGGGGGAGCAAGACAGAGCTCCGTTTTCACATTGGTAGGTATCAATTGACTTGTAGCTATTATTTTCATTCGATGGATCTTTTCGCAATATGTTTATTCTTGTATGTAGTATGACTTGGTGCATTGTTTAAGTTTGACATGTTCCTTACAATTAAGTGCAGTTTGATTCTCATTCCTCTATAGAGGTTCCGAGTTGACAGAGCTGAATATTGACTAGTATACTGATCGCGTGTTCTATTTCTCGCCTTTCCTCGTTCAAACCGTAGTTGTTACTCTGAGGGTGCAAACTACTGTATGTATAGCAAATCTTAGCAATAGATCCCTAGATAGGTTTCGTCCTTTCACGTAGATTCCTTGATTCTTCGACTGAGCACTGAACGAGTTTCATGTTAAGGAGATTGCAACAATCCGTAGTAGGCTTAGCAAGGCCAATCAGAATTCACGGGTAAGTTCCCGCGTAGTATTTCCATCCATAAGGTGAATGCACTGGCGTCCACCTGTGAGATACCACTACCTGTCTGATTGAAAACGGCTTGATTCAAAATAGCATCGGAAATCTTTGATGCCATCAGTTTGCCATCTTTGATATTTGATCGATCAAACACGACAAGAGCGTATCTAGGGCAAACGTCCGGCCAGGAATCTGGCTTTTTGGCCAAAAATGCTCCAATCTCCCGATGCGGTAACTCACACTCTAGATTGAAAGATGTAATTTGTATAATGGAAGACTTCACATGTTCAAGCGCCTCAAGAGTGGTCTCTTTGATCAACCCTTCTGTATGCTGTAGAGTACCGAGGACGTCTTTGATCTGCGGTGTACTGTTTTTCCATTCGTACTTCGGTCTACCTCTTTCGAAACTGGCATAATCTTGAGATAGATCAAGATGGAGATTTGATAATCCACTTTTGGCTGACTCTTCGTGACACAGATCTCTCAAGATTTGAGAAACATTGAGAAAATCGCTTCGAGAGCATACATGCTCTCCCCTGTAATTTATTAGAGGGCGACCGATACTACTGATTCTTGCTAAAGTCTCAACTGTGTTAGATGAAGCTATTATGCATGTCAATTTTCGCACCAGCCCCCAATCATGCTGTCGAAAGTAGGATTCGAAGGAGAAATGAGCGATGACAATGTCATCATCGACATCGCTGTTGTATGGTACTCTTGCACTCTTAGCACCGGTCCACCACGATTCCAGATACCGCATAGTGCTTCTTCGCGTCAAAGTTCGGTTTGTTCCACAAAAAAGCATAACGAGTTTCCCAGCCGCCTGAGCAATATCCGAGGTAGTGGATGATGATGTCAAAATTCTCATCAAATCGCCTTGGGTTTCAGGAAGGGTTAGTGTACGAAACAGAAACGTAACGTCGTTTGCATGTCTAATCACAGCATGTTGTATTTCGATTTCGGTTGATATGGCATCGCTCAGATCTTCATGGCCCGAGTCAACCATTTCCACGTCTAATACCGCCAGCGTGTCGAAAGAGCCAGTGACAGCATCGTATGTTGTGCTTGGTGTAGAAGCCTCTTCGCTAGATGGATTTGATTCATCAAGGATTATGATGTTTTCATTCTCATCATTGACGAAGTGATTAGTGAATCCGAGATCGACGGAGTTCCCAGTAAGATCGTGGTCAGGGTGAGAATTCGGTAAATCGCTATTTCCGGCCGAAGAATCCTCACCACTTTGATTCGTAAATGTTTCTTCTTCAGAGAATAGATTATAAGAAATGTGACTGTCTGCTGGGATCACACCTGGTGTGATCCCTCTTGAGTCCAATGCGGCAGACGCAAAACATTTCATGATTTCTTTTCGATAGATTTCCCGTGCCCAGTCGCATATCATATCAACGATAATGAGGAGTTGTAATGCACTGTCTTCGCGAAGGATGCTTCCATGCCAAAGATCAATGATTCTCTAAAGCTTGTAAGAAAGTGAAGAAATAAACAAACGGCTATATACTATAACCTACTGTTCTGGGACCATCAGGAACACACGCATATATTCTCCATTCATCACCTTGATTGGCCAAGAACCATACCAAGGGGTCAAATCTCGCTTCTGCGGTCGTTGGGACGTTGTTTTGAATGTTAAGCAGCGTTCTTAATGGAAAGGCGCTCTGTTCTTCAACAGATGTGAAACCTGGACACCCGCGCTCAGGTTTGGCCTCTAGGAGAAGAAATGGAAAGGAAGGACTCGAGCTCTTCTCAAAAGGTGTGTCTACTATGCCTGGCTTATTTGACAACAGACTTCGGAGTTTTACTGTTTGCCTCAAGCCGATGACATAGTCAGGCCGCCGAGGACGTAGTTCAGGGACTGAGCTATCAATGACAGGCTCATGACCTCGATACAGAAAAAGGAGCTGGAGTTTCTTCGGTGACTGGTAGTCCCTCGCATCAGTAAAAGATCTGATCGCCGTGGCCAACCGTATTTTACCTGGTCTCTCATTCTATCCACATGTCTACATCTGCAGAGCATTGTCCTAGCTCTCTTGTTCTGCAACTTTTCCGCTGCTAATGGATGAAGCGGATCAAGATGGAATTTAGAGACCCAACGTCTCTTATGGCAATGATCACTAATTGGTATCACAGTTAATTCAGAGTTCCTGTAACAGATAGTTTCTTCTTTACCAGGGTATATCCTTGTGAAAACGATCGAGAACAAGATTCTCAGTGCGACTCCTCCAGGTGGCTTCATTGGCCAAGGAGTTTCGCATGTCGTATGCAACACGGATAAGTTCGGCCACTCGCTCGGGAATTGGATTGAGAGGATCATTTGTATCATTCTCCTCGTTTGCTAATTCTTCGACGAATCTTTCATATTTGATATTTTCGATTTCTCGAATCTTCCGAAAAATCGGCGCGTATTTGAGTGGCCAATGCCGTGGTGCTATAGGCCCATCAAAGACTATTTCGTACTTCTCAATAAGATTATGTCTTTCACGCAGGTTTTTGACCGATGCATTCTTTCGCGGAGCCATGATTCACACACTACCCGCATCCAAATAATACGTATATATCAGGATAGCCTTCGAACAGCGTAATAGTATTATTTAATGGAGAAGATAAGCCGGTGGGACCTATGCCGCATTCTTCACTTGTGAACGCCTGGCGGCAAGGAGGGGTTTGAATCAAGAAGTGTGTCAGATTCTTGCAAGGAACAGAAGCTGCCTACTGCGCCACACAGTTTGCGCAAAGACCAGAATCGGCCCAGTAAGCTCTAGTCATATCAGACGAGGCTGACTTTCAAGATTACTACTTTTTGTGGCCAATAGTTCGTTTGTCGTTGAATATTGTTTTTAATATGCATAAATTTCATGAGCTAACGACTCAACTATTCGCTTTGAAAGAAAGATGTGGTCAATATACCAAGGTACTGGTTGCGAGAAGAAAGAACAGAACACCTTTTTTTTCATCAAAGTTCAGACTCTAGTCTAAAACAACAATAGCCTTACTATACAGACAGAAGTCTAATCCAGTAGGGCTCTCAAATTGAATCTCCAATTCATAGTCAACAACACCTTGACGTGGGGTTTTGCGTAGATAAATAGCAGGAAGAAGACAGGTCTGTATAGGTTCTGCGTTCGATGGCATCGCAGCACTGTCCCCATGCTTAGTCTCGGCTATCATGGAAGCTTTGTCAAAAAATGTACCGGGAGGGTAAAGCACGAGGGAAAACAATCCAGTACTAGAGAGTAGATCCCCTTTTAATCTGAGAGCGCGCTTGAAAATATCAATGAACCTTTTCTCGCGTCTTGAGCTTTCTTTGACTC